ATCTCCCCAAAGTTTCATAGTACACGGATGAACGGGTGTGAAACCGAAATTTATAAACCGTATATAGAGAAAAATCGCAGCCGCCCGTGGCGCCGACCTTGCGAAATTAAAAAAGGATTTTTTTACAGAACCCTTCCCTGAATTGTTCTAATCAACTCCCCTAAAGTCTCATGGCTATCGGATAACGGTGTCACACCAAAATCGACTTATTTTTATAAACCGTATATAGAGAAATATCGCACCCTCCCGTGGCGCCGCCCTTGCAAAATTAAAAATGTTTTTTGTACAGAACCCTTCCCTAGAGTGTTTTAATCAACTCCCCAAAGTTTCATGCCTATCGGATGAACGGTGGCCGGAAAGAACCGCAACAGAAAAAAGCGCAACGGAAAAAAGCGCAAAACAAAAAGCGCAACGGAAAAAAGCGCACACGGAAAAAAGCGCAAAGAGAAAAAAGCGCAACAGAAAAAAGCGCAAAGAGAAAAAAGCGCAAACAGAAAGAAGCGCAATCAGAAAAAAGCGCACACAGAAAAAAGCGCAAACAGAAAAAAGCGCAAACGGAAAAAAGCGCAAAGAGAAAAAAGCGCAAACGGAAAAAAGCGCAAACAGAAAAAAGCGCACACGGAAAAAAGCGCAAACGGAAAAAAGCGCACACAGAAAAAAGCGCAAACAGAAAAAAGCGCACACAGAAAAAAGCGCAAACAGAAAAAAGCGCAAACGGAAAAAAGCGCAAAGAGAAAAAAGCGCAAACGGAAAAAAGCGCAAACAGAAAAAAGCGCACACAGAAAAAAGCGCAAACAGAAAAAAGCGCAAACGGAAAAAAGCGCAAACAGAAAAAAGCGCACACAGAAAAAAGCGCAAACGGAAAAAAGCGCAAACAGAAAAAACACAACGAAAAATGTGCAAAAGAGAAATTTAGCACAAAGACCATATGGACTAGATGACACATTTATACATGACTGTTAGGGCTGCTGTGAGAGTGTTGTGTTTGATCACGTGATCTACTACCATTTAAAGCGTACCACTACCATCTGCCAGAGGCGTAGCGAGGGGGGGTGCGGATCGCATCTGGTGACACCATTTAGGGGGGTGACACCAAGGCAAAAAATAGCAAAATATATAGAGAAAAACTTGAGGGGTGGGGGGGGGGTGCAAATCAAAAGTTTGAGGGGTGGGGGGTGGGGTGCAAATCGAAAATTTGAAAGTTTGTCCCGGAAAGGGATCGTTTCGCTCGGGGGGGGGGGGTGACAACATTAAGTACCGAACCGGGTGACACCCGACCTCGCTACGCCACTGCCATCTGCATTCCCATCACCACCACACAGGCGATAATCACTTTACACAATGCCTATTATTTTCTTGGTCAATAATTATTCAACTACTATTCTCGTATAAACATAAAACTATCGACATTACACGAAGTATCTTTCACATTCTCCCTAGTCCGAACTACCTAGCTTGCATACCATAACAACCCGTTCCTATGGCAAAACTTCACTCTCTTTCATCCGCGTCATCAAACATGCATTCGTCATATTTCTCGCAGCAACATTCATTCGCACCAAAATACCTGATAAAACACACATAACAATGATGTATTTACTATTATTTCATAATGACGCACCTACCTACCTATATATATATCTATATATATACCGAGGGGTCTATGGGGGGGGGTTATAACCCCCCCTAACCCCCCCCCCGCCTACGCCACTGCATATAAGTATTCGCATAGATTTAGAGTAGCGTCCCTTTTGTTTAAATGTTTTCATTACCCTTCAAACAAAAGTCTATTTTAGTTATATTGAGACTAAAGAATGTAAATAAATAGTATACACAATTCTGTAGAATAGGAGCGATTGGGAGGGAAGTGACATTTAGCGCAGGAAATTTAGAGGTTAGGTAGGGTATAATAAATGGTGGGGTTAGGAAAGTTAAGGGGTTTATTCTCTAATAGGCAGTCTATGTCTCTTTCGTACTTTCGTGTTGGTTTATTGTCGAACCTGTCCTCACCTCACATCACAACAGTTGGGTGACGCTTACCGTGTAATGTTGAAATAAATAGCATGTAATTGAGTTAGTTCGAAGTGAGTTTTCATACAAGCCCAACGCACTAATTAAGGTTATCGCAAAATGTAACATATATGTAACATATGTCAATGATGTCAATGAATTTTCATTTTAAAAAATGATGTCTAGTACAGTTTACGAAACTTACGAACTTCGCCGATACTTTTTTGGTGGGTAGGTTGGTAAGTATGTAGGCGGGTAGGTGGGTAGGTGGGTAAGTGGGTAAGTGGGTAGGTGGGTAGGTGGGTAGTTAGGTAGGTAGGTAGGTAGGTAGGTGGGTAGGTGGGTAGTAGGTAGGTAGGTGCGTAATGATGTGAAAAAAATATTAAATACAAAATTGTTATTTTGGTGCGAATGAATGTTGTTACGAGAGATATGACGAATGCATGTTTGATGACGCGGATGAAAGAGAGTGAAGTTTTGCCATAGGAACGGGTTGTTATGGTATGCAAGCTAGGTAGTTCGGACTAGGGAGAATGTGAAAGATACTTCGTGTAATGTCGATAGTTTTATGTTTATACGAGAATAGTAGTTGAATAATTATTGACCAAGAAAATAATAGGCATTGTGTAAAGTGATTATCGCCTGTATCGTGGTGATGGGAATGCAGATAGTAGTGGTACGCTTTAAATGGTAGTAGATCACGTGATCAAACACAACACTCTCACAGCAGCCCTAACAGTCATGTATAAATGTGTCATCTAGTCCATATGGTCTTTGTGCTAAATTTCTCTTTTGCACATTTTTCTTTGTGTTTTTTCTGGTTGCGCATTTTTCTGTTTCTGTTTGCGCTTTTTTCCGTTTGCGCATTTTTCTATGTGCGCTTTTTTCTGTTTGCGCTTTTTTCCGTTTGCACTTTTTTCTGTTTGCGCTTTTTTCTGTGTGCGCTTTTTTCCGTGTGCGCTTTTTTCTGTTTGCGCTTTTTTCCGTTTGCGCTTTTTTCTGTTTGCGCTTTTTTCTGTTTGCGCTTTTTTCTGTTTGCGCTTTTTTCCGTTTGCGCTTTTTTCTCTTTGCGCTTTTTTCTGTTTGCGCTTTTTTCTGTGTGCGCTTTTTTCCGTGTGCGCTTTTTTCCGTTGCGCTTTTTGTTTTGCGCTTTTTTCCGTTGCGCTTTTTTCCGTTGCGGTTCTTTCTGGGAACCCGGATGAACAGTGTGAAACCAAAATAGACTTTTATTTTTATATACCGTATATAGAGAAAAACAAATCGCGCCTTGCCGGGGCGCCACCCCTGCGAATTTGATTTTTTTTTTCGCAGAAACCCCCCCAGGAATATTCTCAACAACTTCCCAAAGTTTCACGGCGATGTGATAAGAGGTGTGGTAATTCATAAAAGATACACAGACACACAGACACACAGACACACAGACACACAGACACACAGACACACAGACACACAGACACACAGACACACAGACACACAGACACACAGACACACAGACACACAGACACACAGACACACAGACACACAGACACACAGACACACAGACACACAGACACACAGACACACAGACACACAGACACACAGACACACAGACACACAGACACACAGACACACAGACACACAGACACACAGACACACAGACACACAGACACACAGACACACAGACACACAGACACACAGACACACAGACACACAGACACACAGACACACAGACACACAGACACACAGACACACAGACACACAGACACACAGACACACAGACACACAGACACACAGACACACAGACACACAGACACACAGACACACAGACACACAGACACACAGACACACAGACACACAGACACACAGACACACAGACACACAGACACACAGACACACAGACACACAGACACACAGACACACAGACACACAGACACACAGACACAGACACACAGACACACAGACACACAGACACACAGACACACAGACACACAGACACACATACATTGCTTTATATATATATATATAATGTATATATATAGTGTTAACATTATATCGCTTGACAAATCATCATCATATTTTCCCGTTCGTACCCGAGACACATGGGGCAGATGAAGTAGAGTTTATCTGTTTCAGAGACCTCGGCATATGAAAGGACAGTGTGGTCAGCGCTGTACCCACCCGCCTTTGTTTTCCCTAAAGTTAGTTAGGTACCCATTAGAGCTGGGTGTACTTAGGGACACTACAGACTTGAGCCCTGATTCGTATTCGAGACTTATGTGTTATCAGTCTATCTCTCTACCGCTAGGCCACGCCAAATAATACTGACTGTAAAGCGTAAATAAGTATTTTTTCAGGTACAGCTTGGACGAATTATCCCCTACAAATGAATTAAAATACAGTATTTTTTGTTCACAGGTAGGTCAAGGTTCATATTCACTAAACATCAAATCAAGACAATGGATTAGTGTTATCTTTCGTTTAGATTGGACTAGCATAAATTAAGTGTTATTGATCCCTGTTGGGGTAGCAGTGTCCTGACTTTTACCATTACTGAAGCTTCTGACCCAAATACAATTTTAATCTCGATTGTCGTTCTTGGTTTGGGGCTATTCTCTTCGCATAATCAATTCTGACACTAATAGATGTTTTTAAAATTAATCACAAAATGTTATTCACCAGACTTAGTTAATGAAACACAGTTTCTAGAATAACATAACTGATTGAAATAAAAAAAAATACTGTTGTAATATCATCACAACACTACTGCACTGAAGTCTCATAGAATTATATTTAAGGACGTTGTTATGACAGTTTTGAAATACCCCCAACCATATAACAGAGCAGCCAATACACATATACCCTAACAGATATTTATTTGTTTTGCAACACATGTGGGCTTTAAAAAATACATCATGTTAAACGTCACATTAGATCTGATATGCTAAAAAAATGTACATAAAACTCTTTGTTCTTCTACAACACTAGATCGTCTGATAGTTCGACAGGCGACATAACCTAGCGATCCTAAAACAAAATCGAATGCACGCCTTTTTGGGGAATTCCCAGTTACAAAATGTATACACGTAAAGCGCACATTGTCTAGACGCGTGTTAATGGTTGCTAAAAGTTGTTTATTTTCTTTAATCAGTAATTCAAGACAACAAATAAAAACACGTAAAGTGAACGCTTAGAATTCAATCTTTAAGTAAATATTTTTGTAATCAGCGATATACCTTAAGCAGTATACGTTTTACATATACCAATACATTTTACATACTGATGCGGCTGAAATAAATTATGTTTAGCAATTTTGTTTCTTAATATAGATCTAATAAACACATAGATCTAGATCTACTAGATCTAGCTCAACACAAAAAGAAAATAGATCTAAATTCCAGACTAGATCTAGATCTAGATTTACTTCTAGACTCTACACTATCTAGTTATACGTCTGTGTTAATTTTGCTTCTTGCATCGCTCTCCTGCCACTAACCACTCGTACCCCATCTTACTAAAACGACTTTTCTAGAACTAGATCTATAATGTGTACCTGTCTCTACATTAGCATTGAAATAATACTTTATGTCTGTATTGTTGTTTCATTAACAATGCCTCCTTCCAATCCTACTTCATGTGTACCAGTAGCCATTACCTTTATCAGAACTCTAAAACGCAAGCAGGCAAGAAAGATATGATTAAGTGTTAAAGTGATATTTTGTTTTGTCGTTATGTTAGGGACAGGGTTTGTTCTAAAAATCACTAGTAGATCGTATGAAAGCTTTGCTTTTGTTTACTTTTAAAATATCTGTAACCTAACCATAAGCATGGCTGATTTACTGTCGCTATCTCTGGAAGAGCTAAGGATTAGGTTAGATAACACGATTAGTTTAATGCTATCTTTAGCTCTAGGTTTAGTCTAGTGACAATGTTAAAGTTAGTATTACAGTGTGTGCTAAAGAAAACGCCGAAACGCCCTACAGGATACAGTATGTATAACGCCATCAGTTACTAGATACCATACCTTTACCGCTCCAGTAGCCTGCTTTGGTACTGAATACCATAACTTTACCGTACTCAGTTGCCTCCCATACTACTGAATACCATGACTTTACCGTACTCAGTTGCCTCCCATACTACTGAATACCATAACTTTACCGTACTCAGTTGCCTCCCATACTACTGAATACCATAACTTTACCGTACTCAGTTGCCTCCCATACTACTGAATACCATAACATTACCGTACTCAGTTCCCTCCCATACTACTGAATACCATAACTTTACCGTACTCAGTTGCCTCCCATACTACTAAATACCATATCTTTACCGTACTCAGTTCCCTCCCATACTACTGAATACCATAACTTTACCGTACTCAGTTGGCTCCCAAACTACTGAATACCATAACTTTACCGTACTCAGTTGCCTCCCATATTACTGAATACCATAACTTTACCGTACTCAGTTGGCTCCCAAACTACTGAATACCATAACTTTACCGTACTCAGTTCCCTCCCATACTACTGAATACCATAACTTTACCGTACTCAGTTCCCTCCCATACTACTGAATACCATAACTTTACCGTACTCAGTTGCCTCCCATACTGCTGTATATTTTTATCGTACCGTCGCCAGTAGCCTCCCATGTTACTGAACACTAAACAAGGGAGGTTACTGATGGCGATAAAATACCACAGACTTACCGTCTCTCCCAGCTTCACCTGTTCAAACTCTCGACTCAGGTAACTCCAGCAACAACCTGCGACTATGTCTAGGCTGAAGGCTGACATCCCACCCCCAAGGAAGGCCAAGGCGTACGACCCGTCCCCCCTGCGTCACCCGCCCCTGACTCCGCAGTGGCGCTGGGCCCAAAAGTACGTCAGTGACATGCGATTTCTCCAGGTGGGTCAAGTCTAGAAGTTTTTTCATCACTTCGCACATACCCCAGTGGCGTAACAAGAAGTGTTTCTTTCAGAAATTTTTCTCAAGAGAGGGGGGGGGGGGGCACTTAAAACTTTCGGGGAGGGGTGCCAACCTAAATTTCCGTAGGCGGGGGGGAGGGGGAGACACTGGTTGAAGTATATATATATATATATATATATATATATATATATATATATATATATATATATATATATATATATATATATATATATATATATTATAAACATCCTATTTCGTTCTCGGGGATGGCAGTAGACGTACTCATAATAGATGCAGTGCCCCCCCCCCCCCCCCCCAAAAAAAAAAGAAACAAAAAAGATGCAAAAAAGAAACTGGTAACGAGGGGTAGGTGTGGTTGGTGTGGATGATGGTTGATTATGGTTCCTTCATTTTTTTCTCTTGCGCCTTACTGAAAGCTACTTAGCTACACACATGACTATGTTTACATTTGTACTTTAAATCAAGCCATTATTAACATTTTAGTAAAATAAAACAGCGTTTGCAGAAATGCGACTTAAGTAACCATGTGCTCTACCATTCGACCACGCTACCCATTTTGGTATTGTCAGCTGAGCCAAGGGTTCGAATCGTCATACTAAAGTTTGACTCCACCCACCTGTTTAACTAATGGCAATTATCTGTTTTGTTTATAGAAACATTGTAAAATATAATTATTTAACATAGGGACACATTTAGTAAAGGGAAGTAATTAAAGTATTAGTTATTCTAGGGGATATTATCCTATATGACATATCATTTATCGTCTTACTTACAATATAAATATTGTTTCTTCTTAAAGAGGACCCATTTCCTCGGCTTGTCAAGATTCAGAATTTTAGCACGACAAAGGAAAGGCACTGCGGAACTTATGAGACTGTTGTTGAGTTACGCCAGTATCCCGTACGTTTTTCTATTGGTTTGTGCAAGTGACGTGTACGTTTGTCTGTTGGTCTGTGCTAGTATCCCGTAAGTTTGTATGTTGGTGTGTGCCAGTATCCCTTAAGTTTCTCTCTCCCAGTATCCCGTAAGTTTCTCTGTTGAGTCAGCTTTAGATCCCCACCCCCTTTTCTCTCCCCCCCCCCCCCATGTTTTATGTGGCGTCGATTATACTTATATTCAGTATTCTCTTTGTATTTATAGGTTAACATTCCATTCGTTTTTATTGCTGAATTATGTTTTTATCATGATTAAATTCCTTGTACTGGGAAAACGTTATATTGATTATGCCTAACAATAATATCACAAGACCTCGGAGCTAGCATGTGCTCTACCACTTGACCATCATGTTCCTCTCATACTGTAACTAAACGGCAAATATATATCAGACTTCAGCTGATCAATATGCTAATTGTGATGATGCTCTAATCAATATGTTAATTATGATGATGCTCTGATCAATATGCTAATTGTGATGATAATTCAGCTGATCAATATGCTAATTGTGATGATGCTCTGATCAATATGCTAATTATGATGATGCTCTGATCAATATGCTAATTATGATGATGCTCTGATCAATATGCTAATTATGATGATGCTCTGATCAATATGCTAATTGTGATGATGCTCTGATCAACATGCTTATTGTGATGATAATTCAGCTGATCAATATGCTAATTATGATGATGCTTTGATCAATATGCTAATTATGATGATGCTTTGATCAATATGCTAAATGTGATGATGCTCTGATCAATATGCTAATTATGATGATGCTTTGATCTATATGCTAATTGTGATGATGCTCTGATCAATAAATTGTGATGATGCAGCTTCGAGGACCACATTCTGCTAGACGTCGACTGGAAGTCTCTGATGTGCAAGATGCCCTATGGCAACCTCCCCGTGCTCTGGATAGACCACAACGTCTACGGGGAGCCCAACGCTATCTCACGTCATCTGGCCAACCATCTCTCGCTGCTGGGGAACACGGAGACTGAGATGCTGGTTGCTGAGGCGGTGTTCGATCAGGTAAGCGGGTGTTGGGTCGGGTAATTGTGTGTTGGTTTAGGAGGTCGTGTGTTGGGTCAGGTGTATGTGTGGTCAAGTTATCATGTGTTGGGGCAGGTAATGTGTTGGGTCAGGTAATCAGAGTTTCCTCCAGACATATCTTTATCTCCCTCCCCCGAACGAAATGGAATTTATATAGAAAACATAAACTTTTACAAGTGTACGCCCCCCCCTCCGGTAAATGTTGACACCCTCCCGGAAAATGTTGACCGCCACCCCCCCAACCCCCCCCCCCCTCGAAAATATCAAGTGCCCCCCCCCCCCCCGAGGAAAAACTCTGTAAGAAACACTGCAGGTAATGTGTTGGGTCAGGTAATGTGTTGGGTCAGGTAATGTGTTGGGTCAGGTAATGTGTTGGGTCAGGTGTATGTTGGGTCAGGTGTATGTTGGGTCAGGTGATCGTGTGATAAGTTATTTAGGTTTGTGTTGAATTACGTAATGGTGTTTAGGACAAGTTCGGTTATATTTAATTAGTTAATACAGAGGTAAGTCATTGATGATGTGTTTACATCAGGTGCATCTTGTTTTCAATGTGTTTATGTCGGGTAAGTTTATGTTCGTTCAGATTATGATGTACTAGTTTAGGTAAAATTGATGATTATTAAGTGATTTGTTATTATTTAGATTTTATACTTGTTCTATTTTTACCGTGTTTATTATTTTTAGACGGGTGGGTTAGAAAATAATAAATTATTTGTCTTTATTTACATATTTTACCGTTTGACAATGAGTTACTATAAGCTGAATTATCTCGCTTTGGTTGAATAATGGGGATATTTTATTGGATTTTGCTCAAGGTTTAAATATTTTAATTACCAGGTGACCAATCTAAAGGAGTCTGACGTGATGCAGAAAGCTTATGAAGAATATCAGGAGAGACCGGATGACAACTTTGAACAAGTTATGACGGTATGGGGCACTTGTCGCTGTTGTTTTTTACAGGGGTGTTTTTAAAATACTTTTTTTTTTATAATCCTGTATTCTAGTACCTTTCCTCAGGCGGACCCTGTTTGGGTACGTTGTGAATTAATTACTTCACGGTATCTCATAATATCATCGCCCCACAATCCTCTCATTATCACATATCCTCACAAAATGTGAAAATCCTGACCACCACCCTCTCTCTAAGTTTCATTTTTCGTTCTCATTTTTGAGGTAATGCTAGTTAAACGTGCTTCTGGTAAAGGTCGTGTTGGATTACCTGTAATGACATTAAATTATCTTAGAAAAAATATCTGTTTTCGTGACTTAGTTTGAAAATGCAAAATAGTTATGACTGTCGAGCGAGCTGCACAAATATTTTGTATGCATCAACTCTAGAACTTGTCTGCAAGAACACACTCGATGGTTTTTAAAAATTAAGAAATGTAGTTATGGATAGTTATCGCATACTGGTTTAAATGGTCGTTTTAAAAATGTTTTATTACTTTAAAAAAAAATCTCACTAAATTTGTTAACGATTTCAAACTGGATTTAAATTATTAATCTTAAAATGATAAAATAATTTTATTTATTTATTTAAAAAATTACCTGGAACTCGCTTTACAACTTCCGGCTAGTTTATTTAAAGCACCACCCAAAACTTGCTCTCGTCCAGGTGCTCCTGCCCAACCACTTCAAGTTCTGGGACGACCACATCGCCGCCACCCCCGGGCCGTACATCCTGGGCTCGGGCCTGTCCGTCGCTGACCTCGCCATCTACGACTTCGTGGACCAGTACCGCGTCTTCCTGCCAATCGACAACGTCATCATCTACCACAAGAACCTCCTTCAGCTGCTCAACATCATCAAAGCCCACCCGCGTCTGGTCCAGTACTTCAAACGTACCCGGGCCCAGTAATCCGCTTCGTTGTACAATATGCTACTATTGCTACTAGTTTCATAATATGGTAGTATTGCCACTCAGTTTCATAATATGCTACTATTGCGACTCAGTTTCATAATATGCTACTATTGCTACTAGTTTCATAATTTGGTAGTATTGCCACTCAGTTTCATAATATGCTACTATTGCGACTCAGTTTCATAATATGCTACTATTGCTACTAGTTTCATAATATGGTAGTATTGCCACTCAGTTTCATAATATGCTACTATTGCGACTCAGTTTCATAATATGCTACTATTGCTACTAGTTTCATAATTTGGTAGTATTGCCACTCAGTTTCATAATATGCTACTATTGCGACTCAGTTTCATAATATGCTACTATTGCTACTAGTTTCATAATATGGTAGTATTGCCACTCAGTTTCATAATATGCTACTATTGCGACTCAGTTTCATAATATGCTACTATTGCTACTAGTTTCATAATTTGGTAGTATTGCCACTCAGTTTCATAATATGCTACTATTGCGACCAGTGGCGTAGCGAGGTCGGGTGTCACCCGGTGCGGCACTTAATGGTGTCACCCCCCCAGAGGCATAGAGACCCTTCCCAGGGATAAACTTTCAAATTTTCGATTTGCACCCCCCCCTCAAACTTTTGATTTGCACCCCCCCCTCGAGTTTTCGATTTGCACCCCCCCCTCAAACTTTCGATTTGCACCCCCCCCCCTCGAGTTTTTCTCTATATATTTTGCTATTTTTTGCCTTGGTGTCACCCCCCTAAATGGTGTCACCCGGTGCGGTCCGCACCCCCCGCCCCCCCCCTCGCTACGCCCCTGATTGCGACTCAGTTTCATAATATGCTACTATTGCTACTAGTTTCATAATATGGTAGTATTGCCACTCAGTTTTACAATATGCTAGTATTGCTACTCAGTTTCTTTCAGGAGGAGAATTGTCCACCCGCTCCTCCGCAGCAAGTTCGCCGCCAACATTACCCCCCCCCCCCTCACCCCTTACGGACGTTTTTTTTTTTAAATATATAATTTATACAGAAAATGTATAATTTTGCCAGTGTCAGCCCCCTCTACCCCTCCCCTGGAAGTTTGATTGCACCCCACCACCCACCCCTTCCCCTCGTACAAAGCTAGCACTGATGGTATTTGTGATGTGTATTTATTTAACTTAAATCTCAACTTTTGGTCGGCTGTTTCTAGAGGATAGAAGAAGGAAGTACGTGAGTCTTTTAGCTGTTTTGGGTGATTAAACTGTACACGTTTTAACATGAACCAAATAAATTCGTTTTAAAGCAGTTTTAACAAGTAAAATATTACAGTTTTTATAACTAACAAACTAAGTTTTTAGTTTAAATAAAGTGGGCTATTTAAATAAAGACTACACACAAATGTTAACTGCCCTTGATCAAAAACCACAAGCATTGATCAACTTGCAAGAAAAAATAATGTGTTTAAATTACAACTTTGTCATGATAGAGAAATATCATCTTTGAAACTAAACCATTTTTTTATAGAACAGATATTGGAGAAAAGCTCAACGCGTTTCAATAATAAAGTTCATATTTGTATGATCGAACATATTTTTTAAAACTTATTTAGTGTAAGGGCTTGACTTATTTTTCTGAAATATAGGGTCATTTCAATTGTGATTTTATAGGCAAAAGCTTTAATTTAAAAACAGATTTTATAATAATGTGTCATACATGATCAGAACTACCAGAAAATAAATTATTAGAAGTTTCGAATCCTTTTTGTGTTTCATTTTTAAATAATAATTTTTATTTATAAAAAAAACGTTCTTGATGTCAATTGCTTATTTTAATTACTACAAGCCTGTAAAATAGACTTTTACAATCTTAAAACAGTCTTAAAAGCATCTGATTTCTCTCCCCGTTACTTCATATGCTTTAAAGCTTACATTTTTATAACACACAAAATTGATTGTTCATTTCTAGCGTACTATTCGGATGCACATTTTTGCATGCCACCCAACTAAGGTGGGATTTTCATGTCCTCACTTAAACCAACTATATCTTGAATATATTGAAGATTAGGGCTTGGGTTAGTGTCGCCCACCCCCACATCACCCCCAGTTCTACAGGATACGTTCATAGATTACCCACCCCACTTACACCAACAAGTATGTCAAGAACAGGGTCGTCCATATGACGTCACTTTTTTTTAGTCTGGCACCAAGACATAGGCCCTACAGTCTGAGCATTATTTAGGTGGCTTTATGGCGGTGCGGTCATTATGTTTGCAAAACTACTTAAGCAGCTCGTTGGTCTAACGTTAGGTCAGGTCAATGACCCTGGATTGGTGTAGCATGAACTGTAGAGCTAAGCTGACCTGACCAGGACATCCAAGAGGGCGGCACTAAACGCTGCCATGTTTACTTTCCCAAAACTTGCCATTAAGCTACTTAAGTATTTACGTCTTAGGTTAAAAATGACCCTTGACTGGGGCTTCATTGGATTTATAAGTTTAAGAAGTCAAGTTCATTAAAAATGTTGTGTAAGATAATGAACTTTGTTTACCATTTGTACACATATTATTTGGGTAGTGCCCCTTGAAAAGATTCGCTCATAAAATACATATAATTAATATTACAATATTTAAGGCCTAAGGGAATGAGCTTGGTTGACCCTGTGCACAAATATTATTTGGGTAGGGCCCCTTGAAAGGATTCACACATAAAATACACTGAATTCATATTATACGTGTAAAAATTAATTGTTTTACAAATCATTGTTTAAGAAATGTATAAACTCAACAAGGCTTACATTTGAAAATATAAAATTGGATTTAATTCCAAGCATTTAACAGTAAAAAAAATACCACATAGGCTTCCAATAAAAAACATACAAAATTTTCTTTTGTAAATTAAGTAGCCTATAAAGCTATCCTTAAAATAATGCTTTACGTATTAGAAGCAGTTTGGAAAAAAATGTTTAAATTAACAACTGATTATAGTTTCTTATATGGGTATAAGCACAATTTAGTAACATCCTCTGGGGAAGGGAAGGTGTGACCAAGTCTACAAATGACTTAAAAAAGTGAGAAGCATTAAATACACCATTAAACATGGCATAACAACATCGCCAGAGTGGTGGGTGGGGAAACTAGCAGTTACCTCACCTGGGTACACCTGGCCAAGTGATGCCACTAGAATTCTGGAAGATTCTTGTAAATGTGAGATTCAAAAGGTATAACATAAAAAAATGAAATATCTCATTCATAGAAATATCTTACTCAATCAAGTAATCCTGCAACAGGTGTTATATCCTATATATATATATATATATATATATATATATATATATATATATATATATATATATATATATATATATATATATAATGTTTCATGAGAATAATCTACAACACTCAATATTAGGTACATAGAAATCAACTGATAAAATCAATTTCCAAATCCTGGGATTCATGTGGAGATGAAGTAGAGTGAAGTCAGAGTGGATTAGCTGTCTCTGGCATTGGTTAAATCTTAATGTTGAAGTTTTATTTGTTTTTACTATTTTTTGTTATAGTTTTCATTATAGAATTTTACATTTTGATTTCATAAGGACATGATATAGGCCTATTGGGCTATTTGTATGAGTAGGCATATTCCTGGAGTATCTGGATCACTTAATACAAGTAGGTCTAAGTCGCAAAAGTTTCTCCTCTTTTATGATACACATATATTATGCAAGTCATTTGAAGCATGAATCTCATACAAGTTTATCCTGTCATTTGAAGCACTTATGTCATACAGGTTCCTCCTGTCATTTGAAGAACCTATGTCATACAAGTTCCACCTATCATTGAAGCATGAATCTCGTACAATTTTCTCCTGTCATTTGAAGCATGAATCTCATACAAGTTTCTCTTGTCATTTGAAGCATGAATTTCATACAAGTACCTCCTGTCATTTGAAGCATACAAGTTCCTTCTTAAGTAGCCTGTCAAAAGCAAGTTGTTGCATATTTTACTTTCTTCTCTTCAGGGTGATGGGTGCTTTTCCTTCCATTTGGGGATTCTAAGATTTACACATTTTTAAAAAATGTATTAGTTTAAATTAGAACTTACTTGTTTTATCATTTAAGACAGTCTTTTTACATTTGTTTTTACTTAAATATTGTACTCACAAAAATATGTTTAAATTTATATTTGATCTTTCAGGTACTGTAATATTTTTTATATAATCTTGGTAGTTCTTATTTGTGACTATATATTGGTAAATAAATATTTTATAACATTATTTTTATACTTTTAATAATGTTAAATAAATTAAAGATTACATTGGTGAAATTAATATTACTTGTAGAGCTAATTTAATTTGTTGTTAATTTTTTAATTTCATTTCACATCTGTATACTTTTTTTTGGCACGACTAATAGAGGGAAGTAACTCAAATTCATTTGTGCAGCAACTGCAGGTTAGTTAAAATCACATTAATTTTAATTTAGTTTACAATTGAACACTATTAGCCATTATACCTGCTACTTGTGTCTGGTGATTTGATTCTTTGGACACGGTTTTAGTATTACTTCCAGACTGTTATTTAAAAAAAAAAATGTTATTAATAATGTGCGAACATTAAAGATTTAACCAAATTAAAAGTAATTAAATTGTATCCATTTCAATAGATAAATTTAGTAAAATCATGCTAAAAAAATTTTCTTTTCATAAATCTCAATAAGGTGAATGCTTACCCTTAAGGCACTGCTTGACCTGCCAACATTATCATCATATGGGGCATCACTTCTAGAGCTAGATTCAACCTGATGATGATATTTTTTTTAAAACAACGTTAAGATTTATCATAAATATAAAATGTTCTTTGGTCAATCTACTATATTAAAAAATAATGATTTTCATGTCATTTTTTATAATATTCTTGTGTATTTAACACAAAAGCAGCAAATTTTGCTTAATGTTTTAAAACTATTTTTTATCAGTGGGGTTCTTTTTCGTTTCAGATTTAGAAAAAAAAATAGATACATTAATCCAAATTTATAGAACTTAAATGTTGAATTATACTTTTAAATAATAATAATTTATTTTTCTGTTAGGGTTTGGTTTTATTTTTATACTTGTTCACAAAAATTTATTTATTATTTAAATTAATAGATGGTTTTATTTGTTTTTAGGGAAACAATTAAATCAAATTTAGTATTAATAAGAAAAAAAGCATTAAAGAGCTTATTTAATAATTACAAAGTTTCTAAATATGGATTATATGTTAGAGAAGGCAGAAAGGATCGGAAAGAATTAGGAGACCATGGAGAATGGACAGCTTTAACAGAGGCCTTATATTCAACAAGGAAACAATTGAAAATATGATGATGATGATGTCAGAACATTAATTTAGATTAAAAATAGAAGCGTTATGGTTGTTACAAACCTGAAAATCTTCTTCTGTAAGCTGTTTTTTAATAGATTTAACCACCCGGTCCCAACTCCATTGCCAGAGGTCTTTTTTAGTGAAATCACAGCAAGCCATGATTGACAGGATGTTTGGGGTCTTGCACTCTTCTATCTTGATGGGTATTAAGCGCTTGTCTCTAGCAGCTGAATATTATATGCCAGATATGTTTTGTTGTATTTAAAGTCAAAATTTTAAAAAATATATAATTAAATAAAAATTTTAATATTTATCAACATTGATTTCCTGTTATGAATGAGTAAGATCATGCACACATTATATAAAATAATAGCACATTTTGACCCACCTACTATTCCAGACAAAAAACCCCGGTAGCAATCAAAGAAAAAGATCTTTACCACCACCTACCCAAATTTTTTTTGTACAATTAATTTATTATTCATCAATTTACTGTCTGAGAGTTATAATGTATATGGTTCCTATGTTAAATTAAATAGGTTGATTTGTTACTAATAGTTTAGTCAGGGGTGTAGCGAGGGGGGGGGCGGGGGGTGCAGACCGCACCGGGTGACACCATTTAGGGGGTGACACCAAGGCAAAAAATAGCAAAATATATAGAGAAAAACTTGAGGGGGGGTTGCAAATCAAAAGTTTGAGGGGGGGGGGGGTGCAAATCGAAAATTAATAGTGTCACACCCCCCCCCCCCCCCTAGAGGGGGGAGGGTGACACCATTAAGTGCCGCACCGGGTGACACCCGACCTCGCTACGCCACTGAGTTTAGTTATGACCTTTTTCACTTGAAATCATATCTATACACTTTATTTCACATTGCTTTAGAAATGAACTTTAAATCCTGATATCCTGGTGGAAGAAAGCTCCAGTAATATTTAAAACTGTTGGTTTGAGCAGTAGATAAAATATTTGCTTTCCCTGATTAAAATACTGAGGGGTAAACTATTTGCTTTCACTGACCAAAATACCTAGAGATAAACCAATGACCAAAACACTTAGAGATAAATAAACCACTGTTTAAGTATTCACCTGGTGACAGAGATTGGGCAAATGTGCTCTGAAATTCACAGATTTCACTCTGCAGAAAGTTTGGACTTAAAACAACAATCATGTGTCTGCATCTGTAAACAAAACATTCAGATCTCAGTCAATATATCAATAAATAAAACATTATGTTGTCCTTTTTGCAATGTAATTTTAATATCATTACTAATGAAATATTTCTATATAGCCAAACATAAACCCAAATTTTACTAAATCATTAATGATGAAATATTTCTATGTAGCCAAACATAAACCCAAATTTTACTAAATCATTAATGATGAAATATTTCTATGTAGCCAAACATAAACCCAAATTTTACTAAATCATTAGACATTAGTGATGAAATATTTCTATGTAGCCAAACATAAACCCAAAATTTTACTAAATCATTAGTGATGAAATATTTCTATGTAGCCAAACATAAACACCAATTTTATTAAATCATTACTGATGAAATATTTCTATGTAGCCAAACATAAACCCAAAATTTTACTAAATCATTAGTGATGAAATATTTCTATGTAGCCAAACATAAACCCAAAATTTTACTAAATCATTAGTGATGAAATATTTCTATGTAGCCAAACATAAACACCAATTTTATTAAATCATTACTGATGAAATATTTCTATGTAGCCAAACATAAACCAAAATTTAATGTTAGTTTTTACACTTCAACCATACGGGCAACACTCAGAGGCTACACTTTGAAGCAAACAAAGAAATTCACACAGATTCTTAGGAATAAATTAATATCTTTGTTTCAATAAGGTTTCTAATTTTTAAAGCTATAGAATATATATTTAATGGAGCTTGCCTTTATTATCAGCAGCAAAAGTTTAGAAAATTTATATTGGCACATTGGTACATTTAAAAAAGATTTACTGTGGCTGAGCATGGGTATGCAGCTATTACATATATGCTTACACACTTATAAATCTACACACACTTTAAGAATTTTTAACTTTAAAAAGTGTTGACTAATTATAAACACATTTGAATTAAGATTTTGAATGTAAAATATTTTATAACATTTTTAAAATATAAAAATAACATTGATTTTATCTATTATGCATTTAAATATATTATAGCTTAAATATATATTTTTAAAAAGATTTTTAAATATACATTTTACTTTCTCGTATATACGAAGTATAGAGAAAGTATTGTAATCATGCAAAAAAAAAAAATCGACGTTTTACACCTCACTGATACGGAACAGCATAATTTTGCAATCTTGTCCGTATGTCTGTGTGTCTGTGTGTGTGTGTGTGTGTCTGTCTGTCTGTGTGTAAACACGATTACTTGAGTACCGTTACAGCTAGGTTGATGAAATTTAACATATAAATATTTTATCAAAATCGTAGATCTGTATCAACTTTTGAGCGATTTCCGTTGACCGGAAGTAGTAATTTACGCTACTTCCGATTTCTCAAAAAACTAATGTAAATATTTAAAGTACTAATAATATTGCGCAGTATTATGCACTTTTTTATTTGGCGTTCACTTGGTGTGCAATTCTTTTGTCTACGAGATTTTATTCTATTTTTAAAACTTTAAGTATTTAAAATGGATTAAAAATCATGTCTATAGCCTGAGTTCCCATCCTCTGTTATTTTAAACAAGAATATTTGAGAAAGTTTTGGGGAGATCACTCCTGGTTTATTTTACAATACTTTTTGTAAGCCAATGTTTACCTTTCTGATATGATTTCACAATCCACTGGGAATTTGTTAAGTCCTGCCAGATCATCTCTTGAAGGGACAAAAAGTTTAAAATTATGGGGCGGATTTTCTAGGATTTGGATCATTTCTTTCACAAACTGTATATCCTTTGAACATTCTCCATATGGATTGTAACAAACAAAGGCATCATATACAATCTTTTTTCCAAGAATAACTGTAAATATTAAAATCATACAAGTTTTATAGTAAAAAACGTAGCACTCTAACATTCACTAGCAGTATGACAATAGCAAATTAAAATACTAAAAGTATAAAACAGAAAATTAGATATTTAAAATAAATCATAAAAATACCAAGAAGCCCTATCCAACCCTCCTAATGCACAATAAATGAGGTTTTCAGCTCAGTTTTTATAAAACAGAATAAAGTTTACAGTAATTGAAAGCAAGAGATAGTCAACTAGTGCTACAATGTACATGAACAGAACTTTACACTGTGTAAAAACGATGTAGAAACTACTGTCAATTATTGTAGTGTGTAAAAACTTACCTTCTTGCAATGATAAAAATTCGGGTATAACAATTTCTCCAAGCCCAGATGACACTGTTATGAAAATACCAAATTACATTAATTATAATGTTGTGTCAGACATTATAATTTTGATGGTAAATTACTTTTTAAAAATTATAATATAACATAATATACCAGTACTACTACTAATTTATAGAACAAACAAAAGCTAAAATTATAGAAACTAAAGTTCACATTTTTAAAACTAGCACCTACCTGATGAGTCTTGAATTGGATTTTTTATTTCTTTTTGTTTTGTTATATATTTTGATACATCATTGTCTACAAAGAAAAAACAAATAACTAAATCACCCTAACTGTGATGAAAAAAAGTGTCAAGATTCTAAAGTGACAAATAATTTGTAATTAATCTGATTATTAGCATTTTGAAGTCTACAATAAAAAACAACAAATCAGTTGACATATATGATACAATGCACATAAATATATTAGAATATTTTCATGATAAACTATATATGAAGTACACTTGACATGGAGTACAGCCAGAAGAAAAGTTACTTGAACATGTTCTTGGGTATCTAAAGTCATTTACCTATTTGCTGTTTAAAATCAGTTAAAATATCTTCTCTTCCAAGCCTATGTAGGAGTTCCAACAGTCTCCCTACAGTAGGATCCAAATGTGATTGTTTCATCCATTCTTTCAGCAAGGCAGCGGTTGGACTCACCTGTCTGTCAAACATCTGGCAATTTTAAAAGTAAGGACATGTTCAATTCAACAAAATTATTGAGGTGTTCTTAAGCTCATCAACTTTGATAGATACCTAACATACATTATAGTAGCAATGATGTATATTTTATGTAAGGTTAGACTTAACCTACCCAGATTTCATTGGAGTCAAACCCAATTAGTTCAGCTAGCCCACCCCAGTTGGGTGATACATTATTTACAAGTAAATATTCTTCATCTAAATAGTTTTCAAGTTTTTTTCTCAATGAGTATGTCAGTGCATGTAGTGGTACATCATGATATGATATTTCTTTGGAGTTGTTGGATCTGATTTCTCCTGTTGAAGATTTTAATTCGAATTACAACAATTTTATTAATTGATGTTGAAAATTAAGAAATATTGTACTATGCTATATCATAATGTTATTTTAAAAATGGATGTTATAACAAAATAATTTGTTTCTTAAAAACTATGCTCACTTTAGATAATTCATTTAAATTAAGATAATTAGCTTGTGAAAATGTCACTAGAAATACTATAGTTACTTCCCTTATTAAACAATATGCATTAAACTTGTAGGCCTATAAATCTGCAGGATTTTTAATCTTATTTCAAAATTTATTCAATTAAAACTTTCAATTGTAAAACATTTGATGGTTTTTTTTTTGTTTTATAAATATATGTTTAAACTGCTGGTAGGTTTTAAACACTAAATGGTTGAATTTTCATGACTTTTAATGCATTTCCTGAGAAAATTTTTTTTATGTGTGTCTAAATTCACTGATTTTAATGTTTTTCTCAGTCTTTAGGCTAACATAGAACAATTTACCAAGCTGCTTCTTGAAGAGACTTAAAATATCTGGTCTCCCGAGTTTGTCCAGGAGTTCTACCAGTCTACCGACAGTTGGTGTAAGGTGTGGTTTGTTTTTCCATTCTTTCAGCATGGCACCTGCTGGACTTTTTTGTTGCTGAAAGGTCTGTCAATATGAAAAATATTTCACATTTTATATCACAAATTGTATATGATTAAATGTTTTTAATTTACTTTGAAAAAATATAAATATGAAAGGTCTGTCAATATGAAAAATATTTCACATTTTATATCACAAATTGTATATGCTTAAATGTTTTTAATTTACTTTGAAAAAATATAAAAATGAAAGGTCTGTCAATATGAAAAATATTTCACATTTTATATCACAAATTGTATATGCTTAAATGTTTTTAATTTACTTTGAAAAAATATAAAAATGAAAGGTCTGTCAATATGCAGAGGCGTAGCGAGTGGGGGGGGGAGGGGGGGACATATGTCTCCGGGCGCCAACCTTATGGGGGCGCCAAATTGAAAATTTGAGGAGGGGGGGGGGGTGCAAATTGAAAGTTTGTCCGCGGGCGCTGGGAAGGGTCGCTGCGCCTCTGTCAATATGACAAATATTTTACACTTTTTTATCACAAATTGTATAATCTTGAATGTTTTTTATTAACCTTGAAAAAAATATAAATTAAAATTAGTGGATTAAGTAAACATTTTGCTGCTCAGTTGAAATTAACAAAATTCATAATATTCAATAAATGGCAATAAAAGGCTAATAGCTATGTTAAAAAGCTACTTTTTAGATAATCACAGATAAATATTATTTGTTGGTGTTACTAAAAATTATATTTTGATTATATTTGATAATTTAAACTGACATCACAATGCAGTCACAATTTAAGGGGTGACACCATAGCAAAAAGTCATAAAATTTCCTGTCGAAATGATGTTTTATCCTGTTAAAATAACAAAATAGTAGGGAGAGAGGGGTGACACCAAACTGAAAATGTAAAATTGTTTTAACTCACCCATATTTCTTTAGAACTGAATCCAATTAGCTCAGCCAAACCATCCCAGTTAGGCACCAAGTCATTTTTGGGTGAACAATTCTTGTTTAAGAGAATTTCAATCTCTTTGAAAGCTGTTTCTGGCAGTGTAGTTAAAGGTATGTCATGATGAGAAGGGCCCATGTAGCCTTCTGCCATACTGTTTTTTACTCAAAACCTTTTTGGAATAATTCAATAGATTATGTATAGGCATACATTTTTAAAAAGTTTAAAAAATGGAACATGTAGTCAAATGGTAAAATGAACAAATTCTAGTTGACAAATCTCAAGTTTTTTTCCCATACTAAATTCTATTGTACATCTCTAAGTCCACCTAGATCTACCACTTATGAATGCCTGACTAAAGTTTGGGAAAGTTAAGGTCTCCGGGACATCCCAAAAAGATCAAGGCACTCAGATTTAGAGGGTCTACATTTAATTAGACTATTAATTATCAATTAACTTGAATACACAAAATATTTTAATTTCATAGAACTGAATACAATATTTCTTCACAGAGATGAAATCTATGTCATCCATGGATACACAAGGGTAACTAATGTGTTTATAAAATTTCATATTTTAACTTAAGTATCAATTAAAGGGTAAAAAGTCAGACCCAACTAACCAAGTTTAAATTGTAGTGATTATTGAGATTATAATTATATGACTGTGGTTTGTGAAAGAAATGTGTGGTTAGTAGGTTACTGTCCTTGGGACTGTTCCTTTCTTCAGCTGTCATGTAAACATACAACTAAAATGAATAAAATAACAAAAGCATTCTCTATCCACATATATACTAGGTCTATTCATGTCAATATCATTTGAATAAGCATTTTTTTTAGAATTTCTTCTTATTAATACATTAATAGCCTACAGTTTCTTATGTATAGAAGGCAAGATGTTAGGTTTAATTAAATTTATACTAAATCCATTTATCTAGAAGCTAATGTTGGACCATCACAAAACTTTAATCATAAGCAATAGTTAGCCAAGTCAAAATGTATTCTACATATTGCTTTATCAAGGGAAATAACTAGTACAGTCAGGACTTCTTTGTAATTTTTTTTTCTAATTGGCTATTTACCAATAGCAATAGGATGATAATAATAATAGGAAAATAATAATTATAAATTATAGATAAGAAATATGATAACTGATGGGTTTGGTAAATTTTCACCTAGTCATTCCCAAATGAGCCTATTATTGAGCCTTTGATACCAATTGGATACGATGGTCAACAGGGAACATAAGGTGTTTTATTGACAGGGAACATAATGTGTTTTATTGACGGGGAACATAAGGCGGTTTATTGACAGGGAACATGATGTGTTTTATTGACAGGGAACATAAGGTGTTTTATTGACAGGGAACATAAGGCGGTTTATTGACAGGGAACATGATGTGTTTTATTGACAGGGAACATAAGGTGTTTTATTGACAGGGAACATAAGGTGTTTTATTGTTGTCACATCAGTGGGTTGTGAGCCAAGTAGGCCTGTATGAAGGGATAATGTTATGGGTTCTATGCCATCTGTCTTTTGTTTCACTAACTTTACTCAGTAGAAGGTCTACCTGTTTTTACATAAACATACTGATAAGTCTAGAACACTTAAGTTACCTCCCATATTAAAAAGTGTTCGTATGTTATACAACAATTGCATACTAAAATTTAAATTCAGATGTGATCCAGTGTCAAGGTTAGTTTGCATAACAAATTACCAATCTAAAAATCAAAATAAAAAAAAGTTTGAAAAATTTGAAATAACTGTTTTGTAAAATGAATTTTTTGAAATGTGTGACATCTTGACTTAAACTCTTACTTCCCCTACCTCCTCCTCGTTACTAAAATCTGATCGTCCCCTTTTTCTCTATGTTAAATTGAAGTTAGTTATAATCTTAGAATGAAGGATTAGGCTACCGTCTGAGCCATATGAAAACCATATGTAGGCTACTTACGGATGAAAACTTATCAATAAACAAACCTGATCGGTAACTGATACGATTCTTGTCCAATTCTAATCTAATCAGTTAGGCCTGGCTAATTCATACGTTTGTGACGTTATTTTACATAATTAGCACAGACTTCCCGCGATAAGAACTTCGAATTAAGATAAATTATGTTTGTAGCTGTTTAAGTTTTGAATTAAGATAAATTATGTTTGTAGCTGTTTAAGTTTGAAAGAACAACTTACTAGAACCAACGCACTCCGGCTATATCCTTGAAAGTGTTACTTACAGTAGATCGGGTTTTCCCTAAACGTCACTAGACTTTTTGTAGACTTATCTTCCGGGTTCGTGAATGGAATCGTGGTGACAACATATACAACAGAGACCGGGAAGTTACACGATAGGGGGGGAGGGGGGGGGGGGGTTAATGCGGCATGGGTGGGATAGGATGGGGGGGGTCTAAATGTAGCTGGTGGAATTTTTTTTTTTGGGGGGGGGAATTTAATATAACATTGGTGTCTTAAGGCGGGGCGGGTCTTAATGAAGCATGGGTGTGATTGGGGGGGGGGGGGGGGGCACTAGCATAAGGCAGTATGAGTGTAATTGGGAGCAGAGTTTCTTCCAGACATCTCTTCGGAGGGGGGGCTTTGCCCCCCCCCCCGAAAATTTTTTACCGCCCCCCCCCCGAACGAAATGAAATGTATATAATTTATATAGAAAATATATACTTTAACAGTGTCCGCCCCCCCCCCCCCAAAGAAAGTCTACCGCCCCCCCCCCCCCTCCCCGGAGAAAAAAGTCTGGAAGAAACAATGATTGGAAGGATCTTAATGTAGCATGTCTGTGATATGGAGGGTCTTAATGTAGCATGGGTGTGATTCGGGGGGGGGGGGCACTAGCAATATGAGTGTAATTGGGAGGATCTTAATGTAGCATGTCTGTGATATGGATGGTCTTAATGTAGCATGGATGTGATTCGGGGGGGGGGTACTTTATGTAGCATGGGTGTGTTTCTCGGGGGACACACGTGGGTACAGCCCGCCTACAACTTCTATCAGCTGTATGAATTTTAATACATTGTCCAACTGCCGGTTTCTTTGTATAGGCCGATCTGAGTCAGGGTTTGTTTTTTTTTAAAGATATTTCTCACCAGTGTGTACTTTAAACTTCGAGAGCTGGATGCATCTGGATGCATTTAAAATTTCCGTGGTCACTATCTAATTATTTGGGGTGGACAGTGATTTCAGTATTTCTTCCAGACTTTTTTCTCCGGGAAGGGGGGGGGTTCACTTGAAATTTTCGGGGGTGGGGGGGGGGGGGCGGTAAACTTTCTTCGGGGGGGGGGGGGGGCGGACACTGTTAAAAGTATATATTTTCTATATAAATTATATACATTTCATTTCGTTCGGGAGGGGGGGGGGCGGTAAAAAAATTTCGGGGGGGGGGGGGGGGGGGGCTTAAAGAGATGCTTGGAAGAAACTCTGAGTGGTTTTGCTTCGGGGGTACTTCCAACCAGCACATCCTCTTTCGGAAGGATGAACACAAACCACGTGACCAAAGGTCGGTGTATAAATAGAATCTAGATATTTATAAATTTTTTGAAAATCCGGATTGATGGACAACGAATGCTAAACCTTCGTTCATAAGTCAGCGGCCTCTTGTATTTCACCAGTTGTTTCCCTTGATCGCAAATTTCTTCTCACTTATCGATCTTGAGGATACAAGTTAAGCCAGTCGTTTTCCATTGATGGGGGTGATCTAATGTTCAGAGTTTCGGGGTGAAGTAAGGTTTTAGGACAGAGGCTGTAGGCCTTAATGTTATAAATATAATACTTTGGCCTTGTTGACGTACGTTACTGTTTGTGAATTTTTATTTATTTTTTACAAGTAGCCTATATGAAATAGTATTCTGCTTTTTTTTTCAGAATTGTATTATAATTAAATTAATAAAAGAAAACATTTTAAGCTGAAATTTGAAATGAAGTGATGTGATTTTGTTCACCCGCTCACATGGGTCACATCTCGTCGTGAAGAAAATCAACAAACGCTGGCCATTACTGACATTTTATTAAGTCCCCCCCCCCCCCCCACCACCTCTTCCAAAAAAAAAAAACCCAAGGAAATACCGAAGTGAATTCAAATGGATATCAACAGGTTTTCACCACTTGCCGAACTTAATTCTCTGCCGTCGTACTCCCAGGGCCGGCGCTACCTATGAGGCGAACTAGCCGCTAAGGGCGCCGTCAGTAGGGGGGGGGGCGCCAAAATGGGCTGGAAAAACAAATTGAAAGTTTGAGGGATATGCAAATCGAAATTTTGTCCCCGGGCGCCGGGAAAGGTCGCTACGCCTCTGATAATACGTGGGCACGAAAAAAATTGCGGGGGGGGGGGGGGGGGGGGTGCTTTTAATAAGTTTTGCCTAGGGCGCTAAATAACCTGGCGCCGGCAGGTTACGTACTCCGCAATACGTATGAGGGGGGGGGATGGGCTAAATAACCCCCCCCCCCCCCCGAGAAAAAAGGCAAAAAGTCTGAAAAGACACGGGTTGATCTGTGTTTTATTCTTAATTTCCTAGCCTACAACTACACGTCTGCCCCCCCCCCCCCCCCACCCTTCCGAGAACACCTGGGACGAGGGGTCGGGTCAGATTTTCATGATTTGAAAAAATATAAGCTACGTAGGGTGTAGGCCTATTAACAAATCTCATTAATCCACTTCAAAAAATCGTGACGCAAAATTTCTCCCCACCCATTCCCAAGGCTCGTGATGTCGACAGTCTCCACCCCCTCCCCACTATTGATCTGTTGAATGATCAGTTTATGCTGTTTTGTAGGATGTTTGCCATACCATGGCCTACATACATACATTGAAATTAGATCTAGGTCTCTCACATGTCTATTTATAGACGGAGTGGTGTTCCCGGATAACATAAACATTGCTATAAGTCTGTGGCGTATGTGTCCACTGCTAGCAGTAGGTGTGTTAATGTAGGTCTACAGTCTACAGCTTTGTGATGTCAACTTTTCCCTTCCTGCCATTAGATAATTTTTACCTTTTATAAACACATGATCTGTGGCATGTGATGTACTTATTCGCTAGAATTTGTAGAAAAGCCTGCTGATCTAGGTAGGTATATTTTTATATTTAGGCCTATTGTTATATTTATTTTTTATTCAACGCAATTAGGCTCATTGCCCTGTTGTCTGTTGTGTAGTCCTGTGTATAATGTAGTCACTTTTTTTTACAGATCCAGACGGCTATCATCAATCATAATCAAAAGCGAGAAATAATGACAGATTACGAACAAAACATTGAGGCTGAATTTACACACACAGCATTGTCGTCTGTTGATAATGAAGTAGCCTGTCTCACAGTTTCTGAATAAAGTTAGCAAATAGCTAGATTCTACGTTTCTAAAGCCCCAGATCAACATCATCAACCTGTGGATTAAAAAGTGGAACTAGTTTCAGATACTCCATATAAAAATAATTTAGATCTCTCTAGATCCAGATATAGATCTAGAAGAGGAATAATCAGGTAGGTCCTATAAAAAAATGAATGTAGGTGTAATTTGTAGGCTATAACTATAGCCAGGGCAAATGTTTGATCATAGGGCTATAGTTATAGTGTTTGCAGCCAGTGGCGTAGGCAGGGGGGGGTTAGGGGGGGTCATAACCCCCCCCCCATAGACCCCTCGGTATATATAAAAAAGTATGAGGGGGGGTGCAAATCGAAAGTTTGAGGGGGGGGTGCAAATCGAAAGTTTGAGGGGGGGGTGCAAATCGAAAGTTTGAGGGGGGGGGGGGGGGGTGCAAATCGAAAGTTTGAGGGGGGTGCAAATCGAAAGTTTGAGGGGGGGGGTGCAAATCGAAAGTTTGTCCCCGGGTAAAAATTGGAACCCCCCCCTTGAGACGATCCTGGCTACGCCACTGTTTGCAGCTCTATGTAAAAGTGCCAGGAAACATGCAAAATAGCTGGAGGAGAGTGCCTCATTATAGGCCAGTAGTTTAGGATAGACTAATATTTAAATATGTATGTGCTTCTAAGTCATAGGTCTATATCAGGGGTCTCCAAACTTTTCAGTCCGACGGCCGCATTAACTATCAAATTTCAGTTCGTGGGCCAGTTAGTTCCAAACATGTCTTTGATTTCTCTGGGCAAAGTTCCTCAGCCATCACAAACAAACATTTTTTCTGTGGACAAAAAGATCTCCGCGGGCCGGATGAGAGGACCTCGCGGGCCGTAGTTTGGAGACCCCTGGTCTACATTATAGTCTGTAATAGTGCATTTGATTTTATGTGTATTTTGGATAACCAACATTTCTGCTTTTTAAAAGAGTTGAGATAATAAATCTTGCTTAGACACATTAAACAATATCAATAATATAGAAATTTGAGTCCAAGATTACTAGATTTAGGCCTACATCTATTTTTGATTAACCTTATGTTCAGTAAATACTTATATTAATATTTGTCTTTATGTCTATTTTTCTAAACTTAATATCAAGAGTTATAAATTAGGCCAATTCAATCAAAATTTTCAAATTCTTATTTGCTCACTTCTTACTTCAAAATTACCTGAACAATTATATATTTTAGAATAAACTACTTACAAAAATAACATTTAACAATTAACTCTTTAAAACTACCTGGCAACATGGCAAAAGCTATTTGGTTAGTTCCAAAACATTTTAAAATTTGTTGAAAACATTTATTTCATTACTAGTTTTACTACTATTCTCAATTTAAGCTTCTAAGCATCATTGAGTTTACCCCTATAAATACATGTATTTGATTATAATAATATAACATAGATGCAGATTGAAGTCCACCTATATATTATATATATATTGGTCAACCAAGCTTATTAATATTAGATCTAGTACTAAAATACTAAAAACTAACAGCATGCACCAATTACACAACATGTAATTTTAAAACTAATTGATAATCTGAAGGTTTAGATTCAATCTGAAGGCTTAACTTAAATTTTAAAAATCATATTTGACGTCTACCAAAGAAATAAAAAATTTTAACAATCACATACATCTTTCCGGAATGAACTTGGGGATGGGTCTGTCCATTCCCCCCCCCCCCCCCCCCCAAGGAAAAAAAATATTCAATTTGTAATTTATACTTTAACCATGTTCTAACCTGACCCCACACCCTTGCTTCAAGTGCCACTTTTAAAGCTTCAAGTTCTAACCCCCCCCCCCCCCCCCTTCCCGAACACATTGTCTAATAGAAACCGGTAACTACTTTGAAAATAAATTTTGTTCTAATACAAAAAGATAACATGTTACCCTTCCTTATTTTGTAGCTGTCAGCACTTTGACCTGGGCTGTTACTTCAATTTTCATTCAAGTAGAGTGTATTTTTTTAGCAGTTGTAACTTGTAATACACTTTAAACTTGTCAAACCGTTGCATACAAGTTTTGTTATAATAGTTGTTTGAGTTTTTATTAATACTATTGGCAATTTTTTAATATTTTTGAAAAATCCTTGAAGATGCAATAAAAAACCCATCTCTGACAACTTTTTTTTTTCTTGCGTAACATTGACTTGAATTACGCAGGTCCAAGCAGTTGTTGCTACTCCCACAATTTTTTAAAAGGCCATATCAACGTAATGGGGAAAAAAATCTAGTTTTTTTTTCTGGTATAATTTTTTTAAAAGTTAGTAGAGTTTAAAAACTATGTAAAAAAATCTACTATTGTTCTCATAATAAGGTTGAACAATGTTAATTGAAGATTATTGTAATCAGATATAATTTAGCAGGGAAAAAAATAATTAAAAATTAAGGAACTTATTTGCCCTAGTAACTTGCATTAAAATCATTAATCCTTTTAATTAAACAAGACATCTTGTTTTTGTTTTTTTAAAAAAACAGCCAGGTATTCAGCAAGTCTTAAGCCTTTTTTTTATTGAACTCTGTTGAATAAATCTTTATGTGATAACAGGACCTATTCTTACATTATGGAGTTAAGGAGTATAATATTTTAATATGAGTTATGATCTGAAACTAGCTGATCATCTTAATTTTTATCTCTGCCCACTGTGTGGTCCCATGAATTAGAGTTGAGAACCACTGTTTTAAATACTTTTAAAGTTGACCCATGATAAAAATCTGTGATAAAAATCAGTGTTACATAACTTCAGCAAGTGGAAAGCTTTGATCTCGCCCTGGTTTTTTTACCTAATCAAAGAGAAATCTGTCACACAGGTGATAATCTGCTCATGATGTTGGATTTATTTTAAACTATTAAGTCAGCTAACCTCTTTATATTGCATTTACACTAAAACTATTGTTATCTATTCTCTGTTATCAGTGTGTAGTTTAGTGTTATTTTTAAATGAACTGGATATCTAATCATTTTAGAATTCTTTCTCCACTAAATTAATTGAATAGCAAGCATACTTAATCAAGATCAAATGTGTACTTTTTATAGCATTAAATTTAATTGGTTTTAGTTTGTTTATCTATATAATTAAATATTTCGGTAAATTAACTCCACTGTGTAATTTCAGTTGGTCTTATGTAATATTATGACGTCAAATGGCAATTATGAGGAATATGACTATAACCAGCCTCTGTTATCCAGTAAGCCTTCAAACAATGAAGACGAACCATTGGAAAGACTTTACTATGATTCCATTTCTCGGGTATCACCAACACCTGACCCCAAGGTCTACCCAGGGGAAGTAAGGGAACACCCACTTGTTTTACCTGGTAGGCCTAATTTTTACTTAATATTTTCATTTCATTTTTAAATTTCTAATCGATACTTCTGTTCTAATCCACATTTTTATCTCTACTGCTCTTTTTTTTAAGTGTGCTGACTCTTTCTACCTGAAGTTTATTTTAGCATTGTCTATGCTGTCCTATAATTCACCTACATTTATAAATTAGAATGCAATTATGTTTCTAAAATATTTGGGCTGATATCTAATCCCTTTTGGCTACATCTAATTAATACAATAGTACTCTAAAATGGTTTTTATATGTAGATATATTCTGATAAACAAACCTGTTTTATACATTAGGGTTAATTTTAGGATTAAGGCTGAATTTAGTTTTGGCATTTTTTATATGTTTACTTTCAATGCAAACTATAGAGGTAACAGAAGATTTAGCTTTAGCTAATTAACATGTCATTTGCCAAATAGGGGTGTGAGTGGTCGAGTCGGTAAAGCTCATGGTTGCTAAACTGAAAAGTCTCGAGTTCGAACTCTTGGGCAAATGAGGCTCGTTAACTGGGGACATCCACTCTTCTAGGAGAGACAACTTCAAAATCAAACAACTGCTGCCTTGCAGTTTGTTCTTGGTTGGACAAAGGCTATGGAAGCAAATCCAAAAAGAAAAGCAGGCTGAAATCGGAGTCAATGGCCTCAATTGCGCATAACCAGTTGACACGTAACGTTAATTATGTTGGAGGGGGATCCCTTCCAACACTAAAATTAAGAACGAAAAAGAAGAAGAATTTGCCAAATGAAACTTTGTTACTCCTTACCTTTATCTACTTTATCTACCTTGATACCCTGGCTCCTTCAACCTCTCTATGATCATTTAAATTAATTTAAGATGGAGCATAATGTCCAATTTCCAGGGATTACCTATTTGCTATCTTATAATTAAATCATTGTTGATCCAATTAACAATTAACTTGACATTAAATATGGAGAATAAAGATTGAATGATGTGAGGACTTTTACTTCGACTGAATTTATTTATCACATAATTAATAACAATACATAACAAGTTTAGATTTCTGCAATTCATTAATTTAAAACTATTTTAAAAACATTTTTTTAAAAGATTTTTTATATTAGTTTTATGAAATAATATTTACACCCTCTGCTAAACTTTTGTATTTAAAATTTTGAACTTTTTTTATAGATAGTGTAGACTCAAATCATAATGTGGAGGATACCAACAGTATACGTGTAAGTCTTGTACAAGTTATATAGCACAAATTAGCTGTGCACATGAACTGCTTTAAGAATTTAGTTTTTGATATGTACAACATTACTGGTTTTTTTTTACAAGTTCTTCAGAACAAATAAAAAATGTGTCCCAATTCCACCTACAAATATGTGTGAAACCATAGACAGGAGTAGATTTGAATAATGTTTTCCTATATATTTTAATATACACATAGCTGGGCGTATAAGTACTAAATATTTAAAAAACAAAGAATCTGTTGGTTACATGCATTGGAGATGTTTTGGTTTAGCTTGTATACATAGGGGAACATATAGCTTATGCTAAGTTAAATGCTGTTTAGGTTCTGACTTGTCTGAGAGGCCATTAAAACTGAGTATAAAAATGTTATTTGTATGGTCTGGTACTACAGAACCAAACATGAATTTAAGCACTTTTAACAGTCATGTGCTCTAACTTTCAACCACCACATCCAGTATGTTACAAATGTGTTTATTTGTGTCCTGTATAAATGACTTTGCCAAAAACCAGATTAATATAGCTCCTTTGTTCATTTTTACTTAGATATATAAAACATTTCATTCTTTATCCACAAAGATATCATGGAAAAAATTGAAAGTTAGATAATTTATCATTAGCAGAAAATAATTCATTTATTAATAATATTTTTAAAAATTTCAAGGAGCATGACTTTTCTAGGCCCTATTTTGTAGGCCTACATTTTTGAAAACTGGAGATTAAACAGGCTGGTTCTTGGGGCAGTGAAATGTGTAAGGTACTGAACTATTCAAACCACTTTATAAAACTAGTCCATGAACCATTTGAATATATATTGCATTGTTTAATCAATCAGTTGTACAAACGGAGGTGGTATGTTTTAATACTGTACAGCACATACACCTGTTTCCAAAGTACAGTCTGGAACACCTGGGGACCAATCTCTAACAGCAGCGAGGAAGCTTTTGGCTGGACAGATGAGACCATTGCTTGGCTCAGCAACTGGGGGCCACTGACTTATGTCATATTTGGATTGTTTTATCCGTGGCTCTTACATGTCAAAGGTAAAATTATAATGTCTAAAGGTTGATTTTTCTTCTTCTTCTTCTTCGTTCTTAATTATTAGTGTTGAAGTGGATTGAGATTTATCTGCCAGTGGGTTTGAATTCGAGACTTTGTTCCAATTTAGCAACCATGAGCTTTTTGCTGACTCGACCACGCCTCCAACACAATTAAGCGTTACGTGTCAACTGGTTATGCGCCATTGAGGCCATTGACTCCGATTTCAGCCTGCTTTTCTTTTTGGATTTGCTTCCATAGCCTTTGTCCAACCAAGAACAAACTACAAGGCAGCAGTTATTTAATTTTGGAGTTGTTTCTCCTAGTGGCTGTCCCCAGCTAACGAGCCTCATCTGCCCGAGGGTTCGAACTCGAGACTTTACCGACTCGACCACGCCGACCCCCTTAAAGGTTGATTGATTTAATGTAGTGGAGAAAGATAGTTTACGGTTGTAGGAAATGGCGTGGTGTAGAGCGAAACATGTGCTTAAAACCTAATACTCATGAGTTTGTAACCCTGGCATAGTTTTTGGATAGTTTAGCAGCTGGTAACAGGTGAGAGAAATGCTTGATTCTTAACCCTGTTCCAGTCTGTCTAATGACCATAGCTTGAGTCAGTAGTGATGAAATCTGAGATATAGTCTTAGGTTTCTTTTACTAGTCGTACTAATTCAATAGCTTCTAGGCATGTCAAGCTAAAACTGAATTGTGCTGAGGTGCTACCTAAATGATTTTAGCAATTTTTAGTTATGGAATGTCCTAACTACAATATTGCAACTTCTTTATATAATTAAAAAAATAACACACTAATTAGTCTTCTAGGGTTTCTCAATTATTTACGTATGTACCCATCAATTTCTCACTTACAGGTATTCGGTGGGCTGTGATATCCAGCATGTTTTTTGTTACACTTGGTGCAGCATTTAGGGTTATAACATCTGACCCTTTTCCTGCAACTATGTGAGTATTTTTTCTTTACTAAATTTGAATATAAGCCTATAATGAGGCCTTGTTTTATATATACTTCTCCTTAATGTGCAGATCTAACTTCCAAAAATATGCAATATACACTGAGTTTTGTTCACAAATAAGGTCTAGTTAAGGTCAAGTTTTCAATGCTAAAGTTCTTCTTGTTTGGTTTATCCCATTGAAAAGCATTTTACATTTATTCAACTCTACTATCTATTTTTTATAACAATGCTTAAAACCTTAGAATCAGTTTTATTATTGGTACCACTATTTGGCTAAAGTGCACTACCTCGAGTTTAAGTATTGTTAACAAGGACTGGCAACAAAAAGAACTATTTTCTTTTGTAGAACATCTGTATAGAATATTGGTAATTTGTATTAGTTTTACAATTTGAGGATTTATTATTTAATGAAACCAGTTCATTACAATCAAATTCTAACCTTTATTGCTACTAGGACAAAGATCAATTGGCTACATAAAATCAACTTAAACTTTGTTTAAATGGTTTCAAGAGAAGTTTTAAATTGATTACTTCCTCTTTTCATCCCATATGGAATGTCGTTATTGATTTTTTTAAAGCACTCATTTTATAAGCTGTTTTAAAGTTTTCTTCTAGCTTCTTAAAATTAATTCATTAAACGGTTTTTAAAATACACTTTTGTGAAATCTGTGGAAAAATATTGTCTAGGATATAATTCAATATATAATTCAATATATAATTCAATATACAATTTAAGATATGCAATAATTAAAAACAATTTTCTAAAATGGTTCCCTATATCTACAATTTTTTAATTAAAAAAAAATTGAATAATTTTAGATCTACTCATACTTATTTTTTTTAATAAAAACAAAAAGGCCAATAGTTCTCATCTTGTAAATATACATTGTCATTTTTTGTACCTTACCTACTTAAAAGAAAATCTGAAACATGAAGCATGAAACAATTATTAATGACATAAGTGCCTCTTTAATAGCTCATGATGACATCCTTCAAATCATAGGACAACAGGGTGTGGGAAAATTTTCTCTCAAGTGCTCTTAATACTTAAAGTGTTACTTTTTGTTATAAAAGTTACAGATCTTATCAGTACTCAGTACACATCTTTTAATTACAGTACACAGGAATTGAAATTTCTGATGATTTCCTACAAAAACTATTGTTAATCAGAATGTAGATCTTGAGCTAGTGGTAAATGGTGGATTGGATTTGTAGTTAGTAAGGAGAATATTTGTTATTCAGGCAATAAAATAAAGAAATATTTGTAAAACTTTTGAGGGCTAAATTTCCTTTTCTTCTTCTTAACTATATTGTTGGATGGGATCTCCTCCAACACATTACAGTTTACAAAACAAAATATACTTATTTGCTCAATTGACCAAAAATGTTTTTCATTTACAAGCAACCTTTTCAAATATGTTGATGTATGATATATATATTCTCAATGCTTTTTTAAAGCCTACATCAGTTGGTTATAAAAATATGACAAATCTTACACACACACACACACACACATATATATATATATATATATATATATATATATATATATATATATATATATATATATATATATATATATATATATATATATATGACTATATATTATGACTATCTAATTAACCAATCCTTCAGACTCATACATATTGGTCAGTTCTTTTGTGGAGTAGGGGGACCAGTCTCTATGGGCAGTATTCCAGCCATCTCTGCTACATGGTTCCCCCCTAAAGAGAGAGTGTCAGCAACAGCTATCAGTGCTTGTATCAATACGCTTGGTGTGGCTGTTCCGTTTGTTGTGGGTAATGAAAAAAAAACTTTACATTTTTATCATATGCTTAGAAGAATATGAGAATTTGGAATAAAAAAAATTATTCCATATTTAAATATTAGAAATCAATTAGAACAATGAAGCCTTCAATGTTGCTTTTTTAATAAAAAGGTAAATGGTTGTAATATGAGCTATGAAACTTTGAAAAGGAATGACATGATTGGGTGTCAGAACATACAACTACTAACCCCACAGTCTTTATAAATGGTCTTGAATCCAACAACACCAAGTCCTACCCAATTCTAATGGACATTTTACTCAATTCTAGCAAAGTAGAAGAGGCTTGGTATAATGCTGACCATGCAATCATTCACTTTATGAGTTTAAATCACATAAAAAGTGAACTCTATAAAAGATGAACAGTATTATATCACACTTTATAACAATAAGAACAAAAGGGCAATTTTTTTAGTATTTTAATTTTACATTAAAAACATGACACAAAATGGTATATTAATTGTGAAAAAACCCAAGCAATTGTTCTATGATATTGATGCTTATATATTATTTTAAAGAAAAGATAATTTATTGTTTTGGATAGAGAATTATTAGAACTGTGAAATGAACACATTTCCATACGAACTTTCAGGGCCAGCTCTTGTGTACACTAGACCTCCTAATGCAACAAAAGCTTCCATGACATTTGGGTATGTGTTTCATGCAACTCATAGCATTATGTTTAATTAAAAACTGTATCTTACTTGTCTCTTTTTAACTAACTTTCTATGCAATTAACTTGCACAGTACAAAAATATCAGTGTTAAAAGAGATAATTATAAATATAACATTTTTAACAAGATGCTTTAATAAAATTTAATCTTAAATTAAATTTATAAATGTTCTAACTGTGAGTTTTGATGTTTTTATTTGCATGCACAATTTTACCTTAAATGTTTCCAACCAAGTAAACATTAGCATGAGTTTTTGTTCTTTATTTAATGACTTACTGAATGTTATTAATTAATGTCCACCCAGTTAAAGTAGCATGAGTTGTTGTAATTTATTTCAATAATTTATTAATTAATGTGTGGCAATTTTTTTAAATAAATCATCTATTTAAATACTTACTAATTAAAAAAAATGTAATGCATGCTTTAAAATAGTGTTATTAAAACCTATTTCTAGTTTAATGCTTCAATAGTTAACACAATGTAAACTATGACAGAAAATGCAGGACTGATGTTGTGTTTCAGAAAAAAACACAATGATGTTATGATAGATTTATCCTCACTAGCAAATGTTACAGGTAAAGCCTAGCACAATTTTAGTTTACCTAAACAATTAGACAATCTGTGTATTGTAATGTTTGTAGATTAGGCTTTTTCTATTTAAGCACTTTTAAAATCATTTTCAAGTCTAGTGTTAATCTGCATGATTTTCCCCTTTTATTGTGAAATATCAAAGTGAATGTTTATTTGTTTACACCTTGTAATGCTATTTTCATTAGGAAGTACTCAGTCAACTGGTGATGAAATAAACAACATGCATATTTCGGTCAACAGTAATCTATATTTAGCTTCTATTTTTAGGCAAACATATTTTTAGAATTCTTTAACATAAGTTTGACTGAGTTTTTGTAATGCATGTTGCTTATTTGGTCATCAGATGGCCACAATAGACACTACCTTGTCATTGGAAGATTCTTCTTTTCAATAACATAAAGCATACTAAAATATAACTATAACCCAGAGAAATAAATTATTAATACAACTTTTGACTAATAAAATTCTAATAACAAAGACAGATACTATAATTTTTTTTATAAATCCTAGTGTGTTCAGACATTGACATTACAGAATGTTTCTTGTATAACAACACAAGGCAAAAAATATATTAAAGAAATTATAACATCTGAAAACTGAACACGAAATCCTGCTTGTTATTAAGGTGTTGGGTTGTTCCTTTAAATGTAACATATAATAACCTATAATTAATTACCTATTCGCCCATATTCTCATAATTGTAATTTTTAAAAATGTGACATTAATTATTATCTACTCACTTCTAGAAAGAATTAAAGAAGAAAGACAGGAAATAATGGTGTATATGTATTACCGTAAGTAATTTTGAAACTACTCTGATGAACTGTTGCTTTGATGAATTACTGATATGCCACTTGCTTTGGAAATTCTTTTGGGGGTGAACCAGGTCATAAGTAATTTTTTTCCTCATCACATTTTACGATGAAACAGAAGGTACTGCATAAACTGCTTAGATTTATAAATAGGACTACATTGTATGGAAAGCTTCCTTCAGGAGAAAAACATATGCCAAGGTCTCTGAAACAGATGAACTCTACTTCATCTGCTTTGTGTGTCTTGGGCGCGAACACAAAAAACATGACACTATTTTAGCAGACAAAACGTCCAACCTCTAAAGAAGTGCCTCTCTCAGGCTGTTTTTCTCCAGGGGTGAGGGGTGCAATTGCAATAAATTTTCATGATGGGGGAGGGGGGGACAACTAAAATTTGCATGGGGAGGGGGGGCAGTAGACATTCTTCAGGGGGGCACAGCCCTTGCAGAAGAGATGGCTAGAAGAAACTGCTCTAATGTCATAAAGTCTCCCCATCTACCCCTAGCATAGAACTAATCTAACTAAAGTTTTTTTTTCCTAATTTTTGTTCTTAAACTAAAACAAAATATATGTCACAAAAAGTTCAGTTTTTTATGACCATCTTTAAATCGTTGTGTTCACAGAATGTGGGGCATGTGTTCTTCTTCTGTTGTTGTTCCTCATCTACTTCCCTGAAAAACCACCTCATCCCCCCTGTCCATCAGCTGTTGTTCACAGAGAAAACTACTGGACTGGTCTGTGGTCACTACGCAAGTAAGCAAACACAATTTTTCTGCTGTGTTAGACTTAAAGCCATTTTAAAAGCAAGCTGTGTTCTAATGCATTCATGAACTGGCAAGATGACCTGTATAAAGTTTTAAGTTACATTTTGTTACTGTTTTGTAATACATTCAAGCATAAAAAAAATTGACCAATAAAAAGTTTTCAGTTACAATTTGTAAAACTGTTTTGTAAATATTTAGAAATTAAAATAACTATAATTGTTCTTTTTATATAGTTTTTTAAAAGTATGAATAAATTTTATGGTCGTTAGAAAATTACACAAATATGTTAATTTTAGTTTTGGTTACTAAACTTCATGTTTTTTTTTAAGGAAGGGTCACTTCATTTTGTTGTCTGTGATTTATGGTGTGTCACTGGGAGTCTTAAACAACTGGAGTAGTGTATTAAATGTCAACCTTGATCCGTTTGGTATAGAAGAAGTAAGTCGTCTTTTGTTGGATAGCCTTACATAGTGGTTTTTACTTTTAAATGTTGAAAAACATCACACATAATTTACATTATTTCATATTAGGAATTTGAGAAAATATTTTTTTTTTCTAAATGTATTATACAGGATGAAGCAGGTTGGATAGGATTTTATGCAACAATTGGAGCTTGTGTAGGAACATTAGTTATCGGAAAGTAAGATACCCAATGTCTTAAGTACATTCAATAATCATTATTCCATGGCAAATATTTTATAAAACTTTTAGACATACACATGCATAGAAATAAAATTTAAAAATGCTTTTTTATAATAACCTATGTATTTTTTATCAATTTACTGAATTTCCTATTTTAAGATTGTTATCAACCAAAATTTACAATTTTTTATTTTGTATTATCTCTTTGCGATCAAGATTTGTAAATGGTAGGGCTATTTTAAAATATTTTAGAATTTTTTTTCTTTTGGATTTAATATGCATTATATTTTTCTTATCCGGTATTTAGAAAACAATTATTTTTTTCCCCATTAGATTTGCTGATCACTTCGCCAGGAGTATGAAGCTGTTTATACTTGTGACATTTCTGTTAGGGGCTGCGTGTTTTGTTGTATTTGCACTGGTGCTCATAAAAGTTATTCCATTTTCTAGCGGTAATATTTTCTTTTTACCCTTTTAGAAGTAAATTTTTAAAAATTAGATAAATTATCTGTTTTTATGGATTATCTTACATATCTTTTCTTGAATTTTAAAACATCTATGAACAAAAGAAAATTTAGTTAAAGTTTTTAACTTTTTTTCCAGCTGTTCTTTATGTGACAGTTATTGGAGGTAACACACTGATCAATGCTGCTGTTCCTATAATTTATGAGCTGGGGTGTGAGCTGGCTTACCCCACCAGTGAAGGGGCAGCAAATGGACTTTTAACATTGTTGAATAATTTAGGAGGCCTCATTTTTCTGGCCATCTTCTTCATTCCTAATGTTGGTATGTATCACTTTCTATTTATACATTTTGATTGTCATCTTTTCCCGTTCATGCCCAAGACACCATGGGGCTGATGAAGTAGAGTTCATCTGTTTAAATAACCTCTTCATATGAGGGGATAGTGTGGTCACTGGTCAGCACTATGTCCACCTGCCTTTGTTTCCCCAATGTGAGTCTGGATGGTATCAGGGGCACCTACTGACTCAAACCTGAGATGCAAACTCCAAACTTTAGGGTTAGCAGTTGTAAGCTCAATCATTCGACCACGTTAAACGATCTAATAAGTGGGACATTTTTGTCAATATTCATTTTGTATAATGTGATGTATCACCTTCCAGTCAAATTTTAATTGGACATTCGGTTAATATATTCTTTTTTTTTAGAAAGCAATTTAACCTTCTATTTTAGTTTGATAAAACAAAGGATAACAAAGTTCACCTGAAATGCAATCAACTTATCAAAGATGAACTAAGATAATAAATTTCATTTATGTTTATGCAACCATTCTAAAATTTGCAAAAATTTCAAAAATTTATACTACTCTGTACCACTTACTACACTATAAAACACATAACAAAATGATAATAAACATAATTGTCCTTATTGTGTTATATTATATAGTGGGAAGCATATCTTAACCATAAACAAAACAAACCAACAATGATGAGCTTAAGTTAGTAAAAATCCTGCATAAAAAGAGATTAAAAATATGGACCAATGAAATATTTGCTTCAGGTACCATGTGGATGAACTGGACTGTGATTGGCTCCATCATTGTGTGTTTACCCATGATTGCTGTGTTGAAGAGTAGGTTTAACAGGCTTGAAGTTGATGAAGGAGTACAGACTCAGCCGTATTTGGAGCAGACCTATACCATACAGGCGTAATAATTTATTCATTCTTAAAATAAATTTGGTTCATGGTTATAGTATTTTCAAACATTTTCCCAACATTTTTTTGATTGTAAAAAGACAAATTTGTAAATTCATTTATGTTAAAAACAGACTTTTCTTTGACCAACAAGGTTTATAAAAATGTCAGTATTTACTTTTTTTAACAGGTGAATTTTACTTCACCTGCCAGATTTGAAAGGTAACTTTCCTTACCTTTTTTTTATTATGTTTAACATGAAACAATTATTTATTATGACATGCATTTTATAAGTGCAATAATTTTTAAAAGAAATAACAAGACTTGTATTCATCTGTAAACAATTTAATTTTGTGATAAATCTTACACCTAAAGCTAAACATTTTTTAGTATTTAAATTCTATTTAAGCAATCTGATTTTTTTAATAGACCAATGTGGGCTATGTACATTCATATTCTTCTAAAAAAATTTTTTGTAGATTAGATCAAAATTGTACTTAATAAATGTAAAAGATTTCTACTATGGACATTGTATGTGATACTTACAACTTTTTATTTCTATATTACAACCCTTCCATATTGTTAGCACAACAGTGTTTACTAAATGACATAATTACAGAACTGTCATATTTCTGTTTGTATTCTTGATCATTTGGGAATACCACTGTTAGTAGTGTTAGTCTACCATTGTTTTTTTCATTGACAAATCAGCTAAGATCATGTTCAGATACCCCCATCCATTTGTAGGAATACATATATATCTGTCTACCACACAACCCTATTTCCATGATATATATACATCTTATTCTATTTAAATTTCAGATGCGTTTCTTTAAATATAGCTGTTTGTAGGTCAAAATTTTACTTAATATAAACCACACATGATATACAATACATATATAATTGTTTTTTTTTACATGAAATATCTTTAACTAGTTCTATCATGTTGATGGTTGCCTGATTATAAAATAAAATTAGGCAAATTAATGGATATTGCTGTAAAATAATTACAATTATGTGATAGCATAATTGATTGGTTAGACACCTTACCAACTCTTATGTCAGTATTTCATTTGCTAATTCAACCAACAGTATTGGGTAACCAACTCAATTTACAGAAAGAAAAGGCAGTGCTTACCATAGTCATTTCATATGCCATGGTTAAAATATTCCAACTTTAATTCATGGGATCTATTTATCATCAGGTCTGAGAGGTTGATTAATTTATTTACTTTTTCTATTACTATTACTTTTCTCCAACACAAAAAAAAAATGTGAATACCTATTTGTTTAAAAAATATTTCATTAAATTTTGTTATTATTATTGTTGTATTTTATTTTCCGTCCATCTATATATATATTATATATATATATATATATATATATATATATATATAAATGAAATTATTGTGTCTTTATTGTATTACTGTCCCTGTCAACCGATCGCCATAAAATTTTGGAAAATTTTCAGAGGGGCAACCCTAGAACCAGGGATCTGTTGATTGCTTGTCTTGCATAGGAAGTCAGTGGTACTACTTAATTCAATGGCCAAATTGCCAGCGCCATGTCAAGAGCACAATGACCGCCTCTGTTTGTTTGAATGAGTCCCTTTCGCTATGGATAAGGTGGGCTGTAAAAAACAGTGACTCAAATCAGGGTTGTCATCCCACGCCCCGACAGTAGAGTTTGCTAGGGCTCCTGAGTTTCTCAGTGGAGCACATGAGATTTATTGATTGAGTGTCTTGCATAGGAGGTCAGTGGTATTGCTAGATGCTACTGGCACAATGCAAAAAAGGTGGCCTCAGGCAGAAAGATTACCTGGAGGACTATGGAGCCTATACTTGTTTTAAAGTGCACTCTACACTAGGGCTACTAAATACGATGACTAAACAGAAATAGGGGTCATACCCTGTCATAGTGTAGCCTCTAGCACCTGCAAGCGCCCCTGATGCCATCTCACTATTAAGGAGGGTGATTAACCTACACTCAAGGCTTTCATACAGAGCCAAGTAATACAGCGCCAACTTTGTTTACATTTAAAAGACTTAGTGTTAAAAATATAGGTCACACATCTAAAAATACACAATTAGTAATGCGTTGATGAAACCCTAAAATGTTTTGGCCCTCTGTGTAGGACAAGATTACTGCAACATGCAAGACAGGTACATTAAAAATATATAACTTGTATGTTGCTTTTCTTGTTTAGATCATTTTAGGACAATTAAGTAATGTACAGAGGTTTTATTTTGCTGATATCACTGTTAGGACAAGAATTGGAGTTTGCTTGTTCTGTAGTTTGATACTACACTATCAGCCTGTTAAAATAATTTTTTTGCAACAGTATGGTGTCTAAATAATGGGAGAAAAAGAAATTAAAAAAGACAGAATTATTATTATGCTATTGGAAACAGAAATTTAAAAAATAAAAAAGATTACAAAAGAAAGGCAGAAAATTGTAAATAAAACTAGCACCCCTTGGAAAAAACTGCAAGGAAGGAAATAGTTTACACCTCAATTACAACAATCTTAATAACAGGTGGTATATGTTAATTACAAAATTACAGCTAATATTCAAATACTAAAACAATAAGACTCAGACATAATATCATAAAACAATTTTTAATGTTAAATAATTTCAACAGAAAATGTTTGAAAAATAATAAGCAATATAACAACAAAGGAAATGATTAAGTACTCTTAAAAAAAACAACATTATAACAACAAAGAGGTAATAATTATTAATTACTAACACCACAAAATCCCATCAACATTTTATGACAAAAAAAGAGCATTTGGAATAGCAATATAATGAGATTCTGTAAAGCTTTCGTTGGAATTGTTCTTCTAATGGAATATCAGGCAGGTTAAAAAAATAGTTTCAACAAAATTTCTTGCAATCTGAGACAAAGAACCACAAGCATGTTGAACTTGATGACAGAATAAACGTTGTTGCAACTTTTTAATATCAGTTCAAAAAAATATAATTTAGATAAATAGAACCAGGAAAAATAGTTTGATTTTAACATTTTGTAAACTTTGGACAGATAACCGTAAGCAAATAGTATACGTTTTTAAAAGTTTTCATAATTTTGATATTTGATTTAAAAATAAAAATGTTACAAAAAACAATGGCTAATTATTAACCACATTTTAGACAAGGATTGGTCACAAGTAATAAAGTTATAGATAAAAAACATAAAATACTTACGTGAATGGTTTCAAATAAGATAAAGAAATGATAATTAATATATATTTCTTATTTAAATAAAAAAAAAAGGATACAGCATTTTTTACAGCTGAAAATTACGTAACTTAAAAAAATCCACAAGAATATTTTCAAGCAAACACTGAAATGTTTCTTTCCAATTTTAATATATATTTTGAAATGTATTTTAGTTTCATTATGAAGCTTTGGATGAATTTTTTTTATCCAATTTTTAAAAAGCTTAGTTTAAAATGCTTGATCTTCAATTCAAAGCTAGGGATTAATCTATAGGCCTTCCATCACTGAACATCAACATCATTTGTGAACAATTAACAAGCAGTAACATTAATTACTTATCACATAAATGACTAAAACAATTATATAATTACACAGTAAAAAAGCAATGGTTAGAAATTTTTCAGTGTTGCTAATACAGTGGTAATTTTAAAAGGTAATAGTAATAAAGCAAAGCTTAAACATTTCAAATATTTAATTTGATTAAAAAAACATAATAAATATTGGAATATACGTAAAATGAGACTTTTTTGGATGAGTGTAATAAAGTAATGGCAAAAAATTTAAATAAGTCTGACGGTTTCAATAGTGAAACACATTTCAGAAATACTGATTGTCTATTTTCTAACCATTTGCTAATATGGCAAAAATCATTTAAAAATAAATGGAATTCAAAACTCTTAAATCAAAACAAGTGCAACATAATTATATAAAAATGCATAGAACTTGACTATTCTGAAAACTTAAAAACATTAAGTAATAGGACTGCATAGATCTAGCAATAACTATGGAAGACATTTTCATCAACAAAGATGTCTGGAGTTTACTACATTAGATGATAAAATAGTTTCGTATTTTCTTTTTCGTTCATATTAAATAACTTGCTAGAAAGCAAATAAATTAACAAAAATTTGCAATTTGGCAAAATAATTATTTGATCAATTTTGTTTGAACTTATTTAAGTTTGCAGATTGGAATCCTGACAAACATCAGTGTTTAATACCACAGTTTACATAGTAAACAAAATTAAGTAAATTATAAATTGATCACTGGGACAATTATTGTATAGCTTAAATCTATTTGGAAAATTGGTCATGTAAAGCTCTTCGTTTAAGCATGCGGAATGTTGAAATTCAAAACATTAAAAATATAGTTTCGTTTCAATGCTAACAACATACAGCAATTCTAACAAATACAACAGGATTTATTTAATGAGCCTGTCCATTCACAAATGAACTTTTTACCACCTATAAGCTGATATTGATTGCATTATTTATTTGAATTTATTAAGAACTAAAAATATTGAATTTTTTAATACCCACTAATAATTGAAAATCTAGACCTGTGTTCATTTTAACATTAAAAAGATAATTAAGATGATGAACTAAAAATATCACTTTTTTATATCCACTAATAATGTAAAATCTTGTCCTTGTAATTTGATTACTGATGTTTAAAAAAAATGCTGTATCTACCAATCCTACTCTTATAGTATGCTGGACACTCGCTGATTGCATAAAGCACATATAAAAAAATATTTTATGTCTCAACTTTTTAAAAATTATAAATAATTCAACATGTTTATTCATGAAAATTAGTATTTTAAATACAAAACTACTATATTACAACAGTATTCTGAATTAAAAAAATAGCAAAAATAATTTTTTAAATCTCTGATATTTGAAAAAAAAAACATTTTAAAATTCTCCCCTCAATGTGTTGTTTAAATAATGAAAAAAGATTATATCTGTATGGCAGTCTATAATAAAAGAAATATAAATGTTGACTAGAAACAAAAAATAATTAAATAAGATGAAACATTATCCAGATACATTTGACCAACAAAAGGGCACAAAATCTGGCTTAAGAAAGTATAAATAATGTATTGTGTTATCAAATACCAACAAGTTTTAGAGTACTTTTGTAATTTTGATTTTTTTTGGCTTTCTGGAATTCCTACCAAAACATATCTTCATTCATAACATCAATATATTTTAAGTAAATACTTAAAAAAAAATAATTCTTTCATGGAATATGCTCAAAAAAAAAAATACTAGTCATGGTTGCCATGAAACATAAGGCAAAAATTGTATTTTAAACGAATAAAACTATGTGTTTAATGCAAATTCAAGGAGTGAAAAGAGTACTGAAATGACATTCCTGTTGCAGCCATAACAATAAAAGCATGGGAACACATAGGCAAAAGTATCCAATTCTAAAAGATTCATATCTATCAAGTAGCTAAGACAAATAATGACATGAATAGAAGAAAATTTTAATATAACCACAACCAAAAGAGCAATATACAAAAGAAAAAATAAACTCAGTTAAGCATTATAACAAAAGAACCAGAAAAGTGGAACACAAAAATAAAAATTCCTTTTCTATTTTTTCAGCCAATCAGGATGTTAGTGATGATTCTTCTGACACACTTATGATAAGCACAATAGTTGTCCCCAGAGTTATCCCAGTGGCCTGAAGCAAGAGGTGTAGGAACCAAGGCTCTCCACTTTTGGTGTACACAAATGTCATTTCAGGAAGCTGGAAGAGTCAGGTTAAAAATTAGTATCCAAACATCTCTGGCAGTTGAAAACAGTGCATTAAAAATTGGGATTTTAAGATTTCAGTTGAGTTAAAAATATGGATTCAAATGATTCTAGGGTTTTAAAAATATGAAGATTTAAAAACATGAAGAAACAATTATTTTTGAAGCTAGAAATTAAATGCCAGTCTGATAAGGATTATATGGACCTAAAGAAAGGCAATGACCTAAGGACTCTCTCTTTTTCCACCATTTTTAAAAAATATAACTATAATTCTAAACAAATAGGACAGTGTGGTCAGACACTTCACTGCTAACTCTAAAGTCAAAAAACAGTAGGACCTCCCTGGGTTCACATAACTCTAATAAGTACTTTACTCATGTAAGGGAAAGCAATAGAAGTTCAGCATAAAAATGACCACCCCGTTCCTTCATTTGCAGAGGTTACAATAACAAGTGAACTTTATCAGCCGTACTAGCCACTTTGTCATGAAAGGATGGCTTTCCTTAAACTTTAATTATAAACATAACATTTAACTGTTATTTTAAAAACTTAAAAAATACTAAAAAAAAAAAATTCTGTTGAGAACACATTGACACTGCCTAAAGGCAGTCAAGATTCTCACAAGATATACAAACACATTGACAAACTGGTAAAAAAACACTAGATGTCACAAAAGCCAAGTGAGTGACAGACAGAACAGGTAACAAGTAGAACCAATGTAACCCATTCATGCCAAATCACCACAGTATCAAAACAAATGTTAGTGTTATAAAGGGAGCAATTTCATACTCGTCAAAGTACTGAGAAGACTTACCAGGTCAACAAGTGTAACATAAAGAAACATCCCCCCAGCCATAGCAAATATCCACAACGAGGCTGAACTCTGGCTGCCAAGTGTTAACCCTATAACTGCCCCCAGAAATTTGGGGATGGTAGCCAGAAAATTGAAGAACATTGCTTTTCTAATGGTAAGTCCGGATCTCACAAGAACTGCAAAGTCACCTGTAGTGGATGTAGTAATAAAAATATCTTCATTGTAAACATTATTTCTAGTATTAAGAAGCTAGTGTACATAAAATTATGTTCAGGGTTGAAAGCAGCTTCAATTAACTGTACCAATTTATGAATACAATTTGATATCATATATGGAACTGTCTTAAAAGAGATAACAACATATTGGCTGTATAGAGGACAAATGCAGTACAATGAAAACATTAAATCTTGACAAAAAGTGTTTTGATATCTCATTCCCAAATAGAAATTGTGCAATGTATTATGTTACATTGTTTTGAAAATATTAGCATTCTAGTTTTTGCTCTGGTTGTTTGTAATATTGTCACTATACATTGATTTAAAATAAAGGTGGATTACTGTATTTGTCTTCAATGCAGCTGATATGTGGTGGCTTTAAAACTGGAGCAATGAGTATGTGGTTCACACTGTTAAGGAACACATGACTGTAAATTACAAACACCAGTTTAGTAACTGAGCATTGTGCAGGCAACACAACTACTTTTACTTTCATATTGTCAAAGAATCAGATGAGCCGAAGTGTTAAGAACATCAATCTCAAGGACAATGAGAAGTCAAGGATTCAGAAAAAAAAAGAAGGATGAAATGAAAACGATGTAAACAAATGCAAAATGCTTTATTTGCATCCTCCTTTCATGTAAATCCTCTAAACCTGAGCATAGGGATAAAACCACACATTGTCAGCAAGTTTAATTATTAGATATTTAAAAGTAAAACTGCCTGAGGTAATCACAATGACAACTCAATCAATTTCAAATCTCTGGCTCAAGTGTATATGATTTCATAGGCAGCTGGGCATTTTGATCACTACACTGCCCCTTTTTATGCAGAGGTCTTTGAAATAGATGAACCCTACTTCATCTGCCTAATGGACCATTCCATAAGAGGATAACTTAAATTACATTAAAAAACAACAAAGAAAATCATGAAGTTAAAAACAGAGTAAATAAAGTAGCATACAGCCAACAAGACCTTATATTAAAAAATAAATTAAATAAACCCAACAACTCATGAAGTTACAGAGTGAATAAAACCCCACAGTACCTATCTCATGTGGTAGCTCATGACAAAACACAGCCAGCGAGGTGCTGATTCCACCAGCAATGCTGCCACCAAAAGCTGTGCCAATGACCAAACCATCACACATGTTGTGGATCATGTCTCCAATGATTACTATCAGGACAACAGAGTTGATACAGGTCCTAGAGCTCACGTTTAAGTGGCTGTGTGCATGATTGACAGGAAACGTCTCACTCACTTTTATCTCTCTAGAAATAGATTTTATTTTACATTTTAGTACAAAACATTTTAATTATAAAAATTGTATTTTAGTAATACAAAATAATTATTTTATTAAAATTTAAAGGACATTTTAATATAAAAATAATTTTGGCCCTGATAAATTGTGGTAAACCAAATTATAGTAGGCACAGTCTTATTATTTTGTTAATTTTACACCACATAATCCTTTAATAATCCCCTTTCACCTTTATCATACATGTGAGGGATGGTTTATATCAAAGAGACAGGTGACGAGTAAGTGTCTGCAATTTTAAGTAAAATATAACAAGAGCTATGTGTTGTTTTATACATAAAATATTCCTTTAAATTGATTTCTTTTCCTTTGTAATTTTTAGCAAAGTAAAATGGGGAATGTAACAGGAGAAAAAGTTTTCAGACTTTGTTTAGAAAAAATTCAGCCGGCAGAAATATATTCGCTAACAATTGTCCTCAAATAAAAACAGAAGATTTCAATTAAAAAGCAGAAAAATTACATTGTTGTTAAAATTATATTATTTATAAAATATAATTTACATGAACTAATACATCTACCTTTATAGCATATTGTTGTCTATAGAATACTATGTACATACACTAATAAATCTACTTTAAAATACTATTAATTCTCCACAGAATTAGAATACTATTTAAATTTACATAAAATCATTGTTCTCTATAGTTCTCTTTAAATTAAAAAATATAAATTTCTTCTGTGGAATACTATTTAATTTATATAAAATCATATTGTTCTCTATAGAATACAATCTATATTTATTTTAAAATAACTTTTTTTCAGTGGAATACTATTTAATTTATATAAAACTATATTGTTCTCGATAGAAAACTATAAAACCATATTGTTCTCTATAGAAAACTATTAAATTATATTGTTCTAAACAGAAAACTATAAAATCAACTCACGGATCAGTTTCAGAGTCAGGTAATTCGACCCTACACTGTTTCCTTTTCGCACTGGGTACCAACATACACACATCAGTGCGGCTAGTCACAGCGGTCACATCATGACCTGAGGCTGAAGGGTTCAAAGACTCGTCACAGCTGTGTAGATGTGCCTCGTGGCTGGCGTCAGCATATTCCTTCAGTGCTAAGGGGGAAAAGAAAATATATATAAGATATTCCAATGAAATGGGAGAGTATATAAAAATACTTGAGTTATTGAAAATCAAATTTAGAAATACTTTGTAGATGTGAGAAAAGGTAGCTAGGAGAATACTCATCCTTTGCATGTTTTTAAAATATATTAATAAATGATGACAAATAATTTTTAGTATATAATGTTGGTAAATAATCATCGGACAAAAGGAATATTATGGACACTAGAACAGATAAGAGTACGTTAGATTTAATCTTTATTAACAACTATTCAATTTGAAGTGCAACATAAGATCTATCCTATATCTGTTAAAATGATGTTAAAATAATTGAAAGATGTTTAAGCTGTACATTTCACGGCAGAAATCAGATTATTCTTTAAAAAATTTAGTTATTTAAAATATAACATCTTTAGATATTATCCATAAATGACGTATAACTTGTAGAGGAATGGGGGCTTCATACTTTTTTTAGGATGTATGAGTGGGAGTGGGTTGAGGAAGTATAACTTTACACTTGTGAATTTAAATTTTTTTTTTTTATAACTGAATTTCAGAAGTTTTTTTATTTTTAAAAAAAAAAATGCTACTTCTGTAAGTTGCAATAAAAATGGATGAATATAGTTAATGTTGAACCAGCTTAGTTAATATTTTTTTTTTAAATTGTGTCGTGGTTTTAACAGGGATGTGACCAGACCAGGAAAAAAAATTAGGAAATTTTCTTCGGATAATAACTCAATATGTTTTATCTTCTTTTTATCGCGGTTAAGCAGCTTCATACTGTTACTGTACTAATTAATTGTTTAATGAACTTAATATTTTAAATACAAGAAGTTTATGTTACTCTAAAATAACATTGAAAGTCTTGTCTAATTGCAATTTAATGTTTACCTTATAAACAACTTTTTAAAAATTACAATGTAACAAAAGTAGCAATTAAGTTTTATTTTACCATTAAGCTAATTTAAATTGTACTAATCTAGTGTAGATTCTAGATGTACTCCTGATTTCAATTTTTAAATAGGGGGCCTTATGCCTAATATATATTCTTTTAAAGATTGGATTGGTAAAAATATTTGTCTTCAACTGGAAAGAGCCTAGATTAAGATTAGTTACAATTTGAAAGTTTTAGGTTCATGTGATGGAAAAATGAAATGGACCAGGTTAGCTAAAATTACAAAGGGTCTGACGTGTGAACCAAAGTTAATCATTATGATAACCAAGCCACATCGTTATTTATGCTTTTTTGGAATAGCTGTAAATTGTTAGGGGTCATCCACGTTTTTTTTGACGAAATTTACCTCCCCTCTCTCCTACAAAAGCCAGACTCCCCCCACAGTCTGAATGTATTTTTTCTTACACAAACAAGACAGGTAGTAGTCACGTTGAGTTTAGTATTTTTTTTTAATCTGTAGGCCTACGAAGCAAGCATGCGTATTGCAGGAACAGCTCTTTGAAATTGACTGTGACGTCATTTTTTTTTTCACAAGCAGTACCGAACACGTACTTGGGGTCAAGGTGAGGTCACAAGAGCCACCGTTGCTACGAGGTGGGGCGGGTTAGTCTAGTCCTCATAGTCACCTTTTGCAAGGATTTCAATATTAATTTGAGATTGCGAAATAAAATAGAATCAGAGAGAAACTCTAGATTTAGGCGGGTTAAAATACCCATAGGTAAATTAGGCTATATCGATAGCTAGATAACCAGGCTTAAGAGATGTCAGCTTCATTTGAATAACTGCATTATTTTAGATTACCTTTTCCCGTGTTTTTGATAAATAGTTAACTGAAAATATCAGCGGAAAATTTGGACTAAAAAAAGTGTGCTTTGAAAAATTCGAAAGTCCGCCGAAATTCCGAATCTTAATCTACATTTAATCTTGATTTAGCACCGTCAGACCTAGCGCAATCGAAAAAATGCGCATATTCGAGTGTCCGTTTGACCTAAGTACAGTAGTTGTAGATTTAAATCTAAATACGAATAAGTGGAATGAGCATGTCGGCCCTTTCCGTAGAAGACATTTCCGTTGTTTTTTTTCCTAATTTTTAAAACTTCGTAAAAAATCGACAAAAATTGAAACTTGTCGGAAAAATTCGGCGAAAATTAAATCAGCGGAGGAAATTTGCAACTGAAACGGAAAAATCGGATTTCCGCTAAAATTCGGAAAAGTCACATCCCTGTTTTAAAAATAAATTATAATCAGATCAGGGGATAGGCTAGTAAAAGTGATGTCTAACAAAGGAGGTAATAAATTATCCAGAAAAGTTTGACGTTATTATCATGGATGTCCTTAGAGAAAATTAATTTAATCCAAATGATTTAATTATTTATTCAAAATAAAATTTGATAAAAGAAGAACCTTTATTGGGATGAACAACCATGACAACATCATCACATGATGGGTAAATAGGTAGTTCATCTTTTATGGTGTCTAGTCTTGTCATCATGGTTGAACTGCCATCACATCCTTCCTATATGGAACACTTCATTTATTAAAAATTAACCAACCGTGTAACATTCTAATAATATTTTAGCCCAAAAAGCTGCCAGATATTTTTTTTTATTTAAAAAAAATAAAAATAAAACTTTTTTACTAAGTTTTAAAAATAGCTTAGTCATTTTAATCAATTATACTTTTGAAACTTACTTAAGTTGTGAAATATATAACTATTTCGGTTAAAAATTTTTCCAGATGATTTGTAAAGGTTTATAAAATTTCTTAGTTTTCTTTTAAATGATTCATATATTTTAACTATCATAATGTTGTGAAGCAAATAAACAAATAAAATTGTGTCATTGTTATGGCTAATGGATTTGGCTTGATTGCTTTGAAGTTTAATTATTGAAAATCAAACTACAAAAAATATTTAAATACTTCTTTTAAAAAAATCAAAAAGATAAAAAAAACATTCCTTACAGATCTTTTCTTGATCTTATTCTTCATACTTTTCTTTGTACTGTGACGCTTAGTGAGAATGGTGAGCAGGCGTTCCATGAAGAAGAACAGATAGATTCCAACCAACGCAACTAAGCCCTTGTATAAGACGGGCAATCTGTTGTAGTTTGATCCCCTGTTGTTGGTTTCTGGGAAGGTGTGGTGGTGGCTGGCATGGTGGGATTCTGACATCAGAGCCTGCAAGAAATTCAAATATCAAACTTTGTAAATGGACTGCTGATTTAGTAAGTTGAAATACTCTAGGCTACCATTTGACCATACATCACGCCTTACTTTAAGCATTTTGCTTAATGAAATTTCACAAAATAAGTATATATTATGTTCCTTATAGAATTCAGTTTTGTCAGGCTAGAATTTCAAAGCATATAAGCTAACTTTAATAGAATACCACTTCTAAGCAGCTTCTTCTTTGTTCTTAATTCTAGTGTTGGAAGAGACTCCCTCCAATCCAACACATTTAAGTAATATGTGTAAACTTGTTAATGTTATGCGCCATATTGACACTTGACTTCAATTTCAGCCTGCTTTTCTTTTTGGATTTGCTTCCATAGCCTTTGTCCGACCAAGAACAAACTACAAGGCAGCAGTTGTTTGATTTTGGAGTTGTCTCTCCCACAAGAGTTGCTACCACCAGCTATTAACCCACATCTGCCGAGGGGTTAAATCTCGAGACGTTTTGGTCTAGCAACCTTTAGCTTTACCAACTCGACTATGCTGACCCCTCTTTCGCTACAGTAATTTCTCTCAATTTAAATAAGTTGCAAATAAAACTTTCGTTTGAGGAATGCTCAACTTACATGTGGCAACAAATGTAGCATGGCATCCCCACACATTGCACCCACTGCAACAGCAACCAAGAACTGCAGTACATGGTTGTAGAAGACTTTCTTCATATTTGGTATCACCACAGCTCCGGCAACACTGCAAATACTTAGAAGACACACAGACAACATTGTGCAGCCCCATGCTGAAAGTAAGATACAAATAATTACAGTTAAATTCATTATACTATCTATACATCATTGTTCTCTTTGCAAGATAGTTTCAAATGTTTTGGAATGTCCAGCTACACTAATTCCATCTTCACAGCAATAATGAGTTGCAACAACACTGTACAGCCTTTAAGATTTTAGTGAATATATGGAACAGTGCTAAAAAACATACTTTTTATACCAATAATTGTTACCTTGATCTTCCAGAACTCAGTGAAGTACTTTCACATGCAAATACCTCCACCCCCCTCATTCATAAAAAAAAAATTAAACACACACACATGTATATATATATATATATATATATATATATATATATATATATATATATGCATACACACACATATTATAAACAAAGAAGATTTAACAAAAAAACTACTGTTAAACTGCTATTTCTACTGAGTTTCTATGAGAAAAAAAATTCATTCTAACCTTTTGGTGATGCTACTTCCTCTGAGTGAGAGTCACCATCATGGGTATGTGTGTCACCACCATCATGGAGATGCGAGGTACCCTCATGAAGATGTGGGTCACCATCATGGGCATGGGATTCACCATTATTGGCATGTGAGTCACCATTATGGGCATGTGAGTCACCCTCATGGGCATGTGAGTCACCATTATTGGCATGTGAGTCACCATTATGGGCATGGGATTCACCATTATGGGCATGTGAGTCACCCTCATGGGCATGTGAGTCACCACAGTAGCCAGATTCAACCTGGTCAAATATTGCAGGACACAGCTGTAGAAACTCATTCTGACTGAAACTCTTCAAGTTTTCAAATCTAAACAGGCTCAAAAGCTCCTCGATTGAAAGGCACTGAAATTAAAAACAAAACAGTATGATATAAATAATTAATTAAATGAATCTAATGAGTGATTTAAGCTAAGCCTTTATTGGACTTGGATAGGCTAAAGGATAATAAGGTCAATTAATGTTTGAATAGTTAGTGGTCTGGTAGACCTGCTGTTTTGTTAAGCTGAGCTAATTATATGTAGATTATTACATATAGTGGAATAGAATATGTGTCATACTGTAGTATGCTCAGGTTAAAGTGAAAGGTAATGGACAATTATTTTTAATGTGTCCATTAAATAATATACCACAGGTTTTATATATTCTCAATTATTTAATTAAATGTGATTAATTCAACTACCTTGCGATCTTCAGGTTTATGAAAAGCTTGTTTCAAACTATCGCAAGTGGTTGCATCTGAGATTTGTATATTACTGCCACGAAGTAATGGCATCATAACAGATGATGCATCCTCTTCTATGTGGTGTTTCTTACTGTTGTTTGTGTTCCTGGAAAAGTTGCCAGGATCAGATAGGCTAACATAGTTATCTGTAGTGGTGTTTCTTATCAGCATAGCAGGGATTTCATTGTGATGACTGTCATTTTCTTCAACATGTTCCTGATTATGATTATCTAGGTTTTGGCTTGGGTCTCTCAAATGACTTTTTTCCTCATGAGAGTGAGATAGCGTACTCATTATATTTTCCAATCTATTTATTTTTAAGAAATTATCATCACTGTTTCTGGAAAAAAATCTAACTACAAAGCAAAGGCTTTCATTTCCAGGGGTAAATCTTGGCACATGATTTAAACTTCTTGCTGTTTTGTTTGAAGACAACTTGAATGTTTTACTTAGTTGAGGCTGGTTTGAACTGTTGTTGGTAATATTTTCTGGGCCTTCTTGATTACTAGGTTTATCAACCAAACCACCTGTAGAATTACTTTTGGCTTCTGCATTTGCGGTAAGTTGAGAGAGTATGAAACTGCAGCAGGAAAGCAGTACAATTGTATTTTTCAAGCACATGTTTTCTGCATAAAGCAAAAATATATAATATAAAAAGAGCTAAGTCTCCTAATGTTAATAATTTCTTCTGGTTCTTGGATCTAGAAATCTAGATTCTAGTAGTAGTAGTAGTAGGCCTATTCATATGGACATATAACACAAGGATGCTGCAAAAAGATCTAAAACCTAGATTCTAGAGATCTAGCTAGATTTGATATATAGATCTAGATCTAGGCCTATTCTAAGCCAATTTATCTATTTTGATTAGGCCTAGGCTATTTTAAAACTATTTTAACTTTTAAGGCCTAGACCTAGCTAGATATCTAGATCTAAATTTTAAATGGCTCATGTTTTGTTTGTAAGCAGTAAAATTAAAAATTTGGTAGGCCTAGATCTAGTTCTAGAGGCTAAAAGCAAAAATATAAAAAGATTCACTCCAGGCCCAGGGATACTGTTCACAAGAATTCCATGCCAAATTAGTTTTTTTATTAGATCTAGGAATATTACTACTTAGGAGTAAGGAGTTGGGTCTAGAATCTAAATGATTAATCTCTAGATTCTAGATCTAGAGATTAAGAGATATGCTGAATCTAGATCTAGATCTTGATTCTAGAATCTTGAGTATTCTTGAGTTAACTAGATCTAGAGTCTAGAGAATCTAGATTTTACCATTTTAGATCTAGATCTAGAATCTAGATTAGATCTAGATCTAGAGATCTAGATTCTAGTTTGAAGATTGTCTAGAATAGTCTAGATCTAGATCTAGATCTAGATCTAGTAGTTGAGTGTGTTTCACAGTCAAAGTATGGGGCATTGAGATGAATCAATTTGTTATTTTTAGGCCTACTATTCATTAATTTATTTAGATTCTAATATCTTGATCTATGCCTCTAATAACTCCAGTCAGTAGTCCCCAGCTAACACAGTATGTAATACCAGGGTCGGCCCAAGCTTGGCCCAATGTTGTAATCATGGCCAAACATTGGACAAGCTTACGCCAGGGTACAGCCAAGATTGGTACATGCTTGCATCCCTTGATACCTTGATATTTAACCGTTTTTACCTTGGCTGCCAAGATTACACTGATTTATGGATTCACTGCAGAAATTTTAGTTAAATATGATTGTTAAACTTAATATATGTTAACTAAAATTAAGTTATCTTTTAATATCATGCTCTAATGTAAACATAGCATCAATAACAGACTACGTTGCATGTGTTAAACATTTTGTTAATCTTTTTAAAATTGTGTGCGCTACTGCCACCGGCCCCCTGTCGCCCATTGTCCCTTTGTTCACATTCCTTCCTATTGTTCGCAAGCCAGCATCCCGGTGCTTCGCCATTTTTCTTAACAAAAGACTTTGTATCCAGTCACAGTAAAACAGGTAGGCCCACTGTAGCCATTTTAGTTCAACAGTGAGAAGTAGTATAACTTTATTTATGCAGAATCTGGAAAACTCGTATTTTTTTGTTGGAAACTTTAACTTTATGGGCCTAAGTCATCAAATAAAAGTTATAAAAGGTAGTTTATTTGAGGTAATAAAATGAGGGATGATATTTAGTCTAGATCTATATATTAATAATACTAGAGTCTATATTCTGTTTATTTTGGCATTAGGCTATAATTACATTTTACAATAATCTCCTTTATGATAGATCTAGATAGATCTAGATTCTAATAATACTAAATAACTAAAAATCGTATTCAGAGGGCGGTTAATTTTGACAGCACTTTTTTTGTATTGAAAAGTATGCAAGTACGTTTGGGTTTATATTGATTATTGATAGATCGATGTATTTATTGGTTTTCAACTTTAGGTATAATTATCACGCACAGGGGAAGGGGGGGGGGGCTTAAATGTTTATAAATTAATAAATAATCATTCACTTTAACTCTAAAAAAAACTTAATTTTATTGTTCTAGGCCTATTTGTGTAAGGATTTGAAACTGTCTTTAATAATTAATTCAGAGAGAGAGAGAGAGAGAGGAACAGTAGACACAATTATAGAACAAATTTCTACATGTTAAACAAACAGTCACAGTGTATTTTGATAGGTATTAATTTTGAAAAAAATTAGTCAACTAGAATTCTAAATTGATTCAAGATTGTCATTCAAATTTCTATTACTGTTACAGCTCCCTTTGGGAGAATAAAATGTCATCATCATCACTCCTTTGTGGCCCCTGGGGAGCAAAGGGCTGCAACCACACATCTCCAGCGGACTTGGGCTGCTCCTCTAATCTGTGCCCATGAGAGCCCAGCTGTTTTCGCCTCCTCCTCAACTGTTCTCTTCCATGTTTTCCTTGGCCGGCCCACCCTCCTTTTTCCCTGGGGATTCCAGTCTAATGCATGTTTTGATGAATAAGATGTAAGTTGTGTAAATAGTAGTGTGGAGACCTCAGAGCAACACTTAATTTCATGACCAACAGCGATAAGATGGTACTATTAGTAAGCCATACTTAATGATCAACACTACTCATATTATCATATAGAGGACAGAGTAGGCAAATGGTTGAGGACACTATTGCTAAACATAAAGCCAAGTTAGTAGTACATTCATCAGTTCACCTAAGTCTGATATATACCCAATTTAAGACTATGAAATAAAAAAGGTGGCTAGATATAGTGTTGACTACACAAATCCTTTATATACAGAGATCAAATAAACAGAGATACTTAAAAATTAGTATCTAATCTGGCTATCATTTATTGTATCACTCACTCATTTTATTATTATATTTAATAACTAAGAATGCCATTTATTTTCAGGCCTCCAGGTGTTGTGTATATCAATCAGCCCACTGGAGATATATCAATCTTTTAATAAATTATAAGGTCCCCACTGCTTGATACTTCACCAAATACTGGCTACACCAGAAAATCACTAAATGTTCTTAACACTTAACAACTGTAAGTTTACATTGTTTCAAAGTGAATAATAATTTTCATTTAGTAATTTTTGCTTGCATGTAATGATCAGCATGTGTAGTTAATGCCTTTACTGATATTAGTAAAATAATTTCAGACCACAAGCATTACTTCTGGGTCACTCTGAAGGGTCTAATCGTTCAATTACTGAATTGATAAAGTTGATGAAATTGCTAAAAAGTTGTCTGGCACCTTCTTAACTCAGAGACATAGGGTAAGGGGTTTATAATATTTATATACATACTATTATTTTTTTTATTACCAGGTCTTTTTTTTTCACTTTTGTTTATATATATATATATATATATATATATATATATATATATATATATATATATATATATATATATATATATGCAGTATAAGTGTTACCTGGGTAGCATGAACACCCCAGACCACCAGTCTTTATACCTATATAATATATCGTTACAAGGTAGCAAACATGATGTTAGGGGCTTCTTGTTGTATGTTCAGTGCAGTGCAAAATAAAATAAACATAATAAATTTAGTGCAAAATGAGCAGTGTATGGTTGTAATTATTTCATAAATGACTTTTAGTGTGTAACTTTTCTTTTTTAGAATGTGGATGGATTATAACATACCTTGCACAAATCAACAACCAGGCTTTTATTGGATTTGAATCCCAAAGGAAAGAGAAAGTTTGTTATCCAAAACAAACATGGAAAATATCAGAAACCAACAAAACACAAGCAGGCAGAGTGTTATGGACCCAACTTTGGGGAATCTCCTAAAACCAAGTATAAAAATAGAGAGGTGTGGTTGTGTCTCTCAGCTCCACAAGGGTCCACAAGAATGAGGACAACAGTGATTTTCGTAATAATTTTAGATCAGATTTTTTTTAAAAAATTGATCAGATGGATCAGGTTAACAGTTTAATACATATTGCATTTAAGTGCTTAACGAAAAGAAAAGATGCTCTTACCAAAATAGTCTAAGAACAATGCTGATTTTAAATTAATAAATTGTTTCCTTTTGTAATAATATAATAATTTAAGTTGGCATTGTATGTATGTTTAGTGTAGATTTAATGCCCTAAATGAAATACACAATTGACATTTTTTTCTTTAAAGAATTAGTTGCAAATTTCTTTCATTATTTAGTTTCACTGTACAATCTAAAAAAAACTTGCAACATTTGTATTGACAATACTTCTGCTGGTGATATTTATTTCTAATTAATGAAGTAAATTAATATATATTCAGTTTACTATAATTAAATACCTCATACACTAGACAAAAAAACATTTATTGAATATCACAGTGATATTCCTGTTCTACACAATGCGTATAAACCCTCGAACCATCTGTCTTTTGAAAGATTGTACATTTTGTATACACAATGGCATTCATTTCAACACTATTTAACCACAATTATAATCTAGAGATCCTGAACATATTTTTGTTCTGTTATTTATCGACAAGGCAGACTGGTCCAGCATTAAAATGTAAACCTTAATTAGAATACTTAAACGAGCTATGCAATTAAATGTTGTTAGACAAATAATTTATACTTTTTATTTTTAATGTTATGTTTACGTATCATAGTACAAGACAGCTTCTGTATTCTTGTACAGTAAATTAAGTTTTTACATTAGTTTAATTTAAACTGTAGGCCTGCTTAACATCTGTTACATTATATGAAAATGTTTTGTATATTTGTTTTAATTTGTTTGTATAAAAGTCAAAATGAAAGTTACTACACTATTATTTACATATTCTTTTTCAATCAATACTTTATAGTATAGTTATAATTTTCTTACAATTGAATGGATGGTATAATACAGATTTTAATAGATGAGCAGTTCTTGTGTATGTATTGCTGCTTTACTACATTTTGATTAAAATTTCTTTCACATTTTGAAATTACCTTTGTAAATATTATGACTGATATGAGAATGGATCTTTTTGTATGCTAAAAATAAAAATTTGAGCCAAGATGTAGCCAGGATATAATACAGGCTGAGCCAAGGTATAGCCGAGATATAGCCATTATTGGGCCAAGATGTAGCCAGGATATAATACAGGATGAGCCAAGGTATAGCCAATATTGGGCCAAGATATAGCCATTATTGAGCCAAGATGTAGCCAATATTGGGCCAAGATGTAACCATGATATAGACAATATTGGGCCAAGATATAGCCAATATTGAGCCAATATTGGGCCAATATGTAGCCGGGATATAGCCAATGTTGGGCCAATATGTAGCCGGGATATAGCCAATATTTGGCCAAGATCTAGCCAACGTTGGGCCAATATGTAGCCGGGATATAGCCAATATTGTGCCAACATTGCGCCAACATCATGCCGAGTTTCACTACCAATGTTTCGCCAAGGTTAAGCCAATGTTGCACCAAGATGAAGCCAATATTGGTAACCAATGTTTAGCCAATATTGGGCCAATATATGTGTGCTGACTGGGTCTATCATCCGCTTCTTGAATTACTGCTTGTAAACTTCTGTTGTTTCTGAAACTGCGCAGATAAGCTTCAGTCTTGTATTTTATATTGAATGGATCTCGATCTTGATTCTAAATCTAGAAGTTAGATCTCACTGTTGTTGGTTTTATCAAAAATTTATCCAGCTAGAATCATTTCGACAAGTTTGCTGATCTGG